CAGATATTTAATGTGTGTATTCAAAATGGACTGTTATTAGTATATATCTCTGTGTTCATATGTATAATGATGATGATGATGATGATGATGATGATGATGTTGGAAGAGGCCTTGGAGGTCATCTAGTCCAACCCCCTGCTCAGGCAGGAAACCCTAGACCATTTCGGACAAATGGCTGTCCAGTCTCTTCTTAAAAACTTCCAGTGTTGGAGCATTTACTGCTTCTGGAGGCAGGCTGTTCCCTTGGGTAATTGTTCTAACTGTCAGGAAGTTTCTCCTTAGTTCTAGGTTGCTTCTCCCCTTGATTAGTTTCCATCCGTTGCTTCTTGTCCTGTCTTCAGGCGCTTTGGAGAACAGCTTGACTCCCTCTTCTTTGGGGCAGCCCTTGAGATACTGGAAGACTGCTATCATGTTCCCCCTCATCCTTTTTTTCCTTAAACTGGACATACCCAATTCCAGCAACCGTTCCTTATATGTTTTATGTATGTGTATGTATGGGTATAAGTATATATGTATGTATGTATGTATGTATGTAGTTCTTTGATTATTCGGGTTTTCTCCCGCGTAGAATTGGAAGTGTCTTGGCGACGTTTCGACGAAGTCCCATTCGTCATCTTCAGGCTGGTGTTTTTGGCTTCGTGCTTCTAGGAGCAATGTGTGATCGTAGCTGTTTCTTCCTTTTAAATGCCAGTGGGGGTATGGATTGATTGGGTGGGAGCTTGGCTGTGTTCTGATTGGGTGGAGGTGTGTTCTGATTGGTTAGGGGCTTGGCTGTGCTCTGATTGGATGGGGGAGTGTTCTGTTTGGGTGGGGGCTTTGTTGTGCTCAAGTTAGTCTGAGTTGCGGGGAGATTTGAGATTGTGTACTGCGTTGCTGTTGTTTGGCTTCGCATTGTGCCTCATCTTCATGGTGGGTGTCAGTTTGCTTCATGTATGGATTGGAGGGGTTTAAAGTGGCTAATGATGCAGCTGTGGTCTGGCTTCTGGTTTGTGGTCGTGCCTCATCATCGGTGTGGGTTTGGGTTTGCTTTTTGCGTAGATGTGTGGTGGTGACATCCTGTGTGGTTTTCGTGAGTGTGGGTCTGGTGTCATTCTTTGTGTTATGGACTCGTTTGTCAATAAGGCCGGGTTTCCAAATGGCTGGTAGGCAGGAGGTATCATCTCGTATATTCATGCTGTGTGAGCGTTTTTCTATCTCGATGGCTTCTCTGATTATTCTGTTATTAAAGTGTTTAGTTTTGGCGATAGTTCTGGTCTTTTTAAAGTCAATTTCATGTCATGTGGCTTTAAGGTGTTGGACAGGGAAGAAGTTGGTTCCTCTTTTTTGACTGAGTTCTTGTGATCTTCAATGCGTGCACTTAATCTTCTGTTGGTTTGTCCGATGTATATGGTGGGGCAAGCGGTGCATGGGATTTTATATACTCCTTGATTTTCTAACTCAATTTTGTCTTTGGGGTTTCTTAGTATGATGGATATTTTTCTGTTTGTGCAGAATGCTGTCTTGATGTTGTGTTTGTGGAGGATCTTGCTGATTGTGGTGCCTTTTATGTATGGGAGGAGGGCTTTGCCGTTTTCTTGTTCTCTGTCTTGGATTTTAGTGGGGGTTTCTTTTTGGATTAGGTTGGAAATCTTATTTCTTTGGAATCCGTTGGATGTTAGTACATTAGTGAGAGTGTGTAGTTCGGTTTTTAGGTGTTGTTCATCAGATAAGCGTTTTGTTCTGGAGATGAGTGTCTTAGCTACGGAATTGATCTGTGCTGGGTGGTGGTGTGAGAGTGACATATCCCTCTTCACGCAAGTACCAATCAAAGAAGCCTTGACAGCTATCCAAAACCACTATAACCCCCCCCCCAAACACATCCTAGATCTGACCAACCACTGCCTATCCAACGTATACTTCATCTATAACGGACAAAAATACAAACAAATAGAAGGAGCACCCATGAGATCACCCCTCTCACCTGTCGTTGCAAACCTCTACATGGAACACTTTGAAACCAAGCTCTAGAAAAATCTGATCACAAACCCAAACTCTGGCTCAGATACGTAGACGACACCTTCATGGGAAAGAAAAACTGGACAACTTCCTCACACACCTCAATAGCCTACACCCCAAAATACAGTTCACCATGGAAACAGAAGCTAATAACCAACTTCTCTTCCTGGATGTCTTAGTCTACAAGAAATCCAATGGCTCCCTAGGACACACCATCTACCAGAAGAAAACACAAACAAACCGCTATCTGCACGCACTCTCACACCACCACCATCCTGCCTACCAGCCATTTGGAAACCCGCCCTTATTGACAAACGAGTCCATAACACAAATGATACAGCTGTGGTCTGACTTCTGGTTTGTGGTCATGCCTCATCATCGGTGTGGGTTTGGGTTTGCTTTTTGCGTGGATGTGTGGTGGTGACATCCTGTGTGGTTTTCGTGAGTGTGGGTCTGGTGTCATTCTTTGTGTTATGGACTCGTTTGTCAATAAGGGTGGGTTTCCAAATGGCTGGTAGGCGGGATGGTGGTGGTGTGGGTTGTATAAACAGAGGCGTAGAATCAAGATCACATGAAGTCTTAGTACCGCTTTATAAAGCCCTAGTGAGGCCACACCTGGAATACTGCAACCAATTTTGGTCACCATATCACAAAAAAGACATTGAGAGTTTGGAAAAATTTCAGAGAAGAGCAACTAAGATGATCCAAGGCCTGGAGACTAAAACATACGAAGAACGGCTGCGGGACTTGGGTTTGGCCAGTCTAAAGAAAAGAAGAAATAGGGGAGACAGGATAGCGGTGTTCCAGTATTTTTGGGGCTGCCACAAAGAAGAGGAGGGGGGGGGGTCATGTTATTCAACAAAGCATCAGAGGGCAGGACGAGAAACACTGGATGGAAACTGATCAAAGAGAGAAGCAACCTGGAATTAAGGAGAAACTTCCTGACAGTGAGGACAATTAGCCAGTGGAACAGCCTGCCTCCAGAAGTTGTGGGCGCTCCCACCCTTCCTTTGCTCCTCTTTGAATGTGTCTGCAGGTCTATAGGAAAAGTCTGGCTAACCAGAATCTTACAGGCCCAAAGATTTCCTGCTTTTCCACTTGTTTAGCCATTTCCTTTGAAAATTTTTTTAGTGGGATTATCCAAAATCCACTGACTAGATCCCTGAATTCTTTTATAGGTCATTTTTGCTTCCTAAGTTATTTCTACCCATTTCTCACAGAAGCAACATTAATGACCCACGCTATCATAGGAAGTCCTCAATTTACAATAGTTCATTTAAAGACCGAGTTACAGCAGCACTGGGAAAAAATGACCATTTTTCACACTTATGACCCTTGCAGCATTCCCCCGGTCGTGTGATCAAAATTCAGACATTTGGGCACTGATTCATATTTATGACCGTCGCTGTGTGCTGGATCCCCTTCGGCGACCCTTCTGACGAGTGATGTCAATGGGGAAGCCCGATGCACTTAAAAATTGTGTTACTAACTGAACAACTGCAGGGATTCACTTAACAAGCAGGTTATTAACTTAATAACCAGAGATTGTCGTAAAAAAGTCGTAAAATGAGGCAAAACTCACTAAACAAAGGTCTCACTTAGCAACATAAATTTTCGGCTCAGTTCTGGCCGTAAGACGAGGACAACCTGTGTTCCCTCAACCTGAAGGATGTCCCAAAAGAAGGGCAAAGTGAAACACACCCAGAAGTGAAATTCCTTATTGCAACAGCTGGTGTGAAATTGCCATCGGCAAGTATAGTTCTTGCAGACTTGCACAAGCTTGAATTACACAAACATGCAGGATTGATTTTAATTCCTTTTAGATACTTTATATGTAAATTCTTCACTCTGATATTCTAAGTAGTTATAAAACAAAACTGGCCTGCGATACAAATCCTCCTTCCACAAACAACACCCGCAGATAGTCCTCGACTTACGACCGCTTCATTTAGTGATCATTCAGAGTTACAACGGCACTGAAAAAAAAACCGACTTAGGACCCTTTTTCACACTGATGGCCAATTCAGAGAGGTAGATCTCCACCCAGTCTCGTCCGCGCTCCCTTAAAATTGCCTGATGATAAGCGTGAGTTCGGCTGTCTGCAGCCTAGTGACGAGCCAGATTGCTATGGCCGGTCTTTCGTCCGCCGGTTTGGAGGGCTGCCCTGGATCAAGCAGGAGGGCTACCACCCTCCCGCAATCCAACAGGGATCCCCTCCTTGATGGTCACCCCTACAAGGTGACTTTTGACCCTTTCCGGGGTCCCCCAGCAAAGCGAAACTGAACGTGGAAGACAGAGCTTGCCTTCCAGACATCCGTATCGGGTGCCGTCGTCACCGATGGCCATTTCAGCATCCCCACGGTCATGGGATTGACAGTCAAACCCTTGACAACTCTTCAGATTTACGACGGTCGCAGTGTCCCGGGGTCACATGATCCCCTTTTATTTATTTATTTATTTATGAGACTTATATACCGCTTTAAGTGCAAGCACTCTCTAAGCGGTGTACAGCAGTAAGCAATGTATATATATATATTTACATTGCCTCCAACAATCTGGGTCCTCAGAAGGATGGAAGGCTGAGTCAACCTTGAGCTGGTGAGATTTGAACCGCTGACCTGCTGAACACAGTGGCCTGCAGTACTGCACACTAACTGCTGCGCCACCTCGGCTCTTTTGTGACCTTCGGACTTAAGCAAAGTCAATGGCGAAGCCGGATTCACTTAATAACCGTGTTCTTCATTTAACACCTGCAGGGATTCCCTGAACAACTGGGGCCAGACAGGATGTCAAAAGGGGCAAAACTCACTTAACAAACATTGTCAGTGAATGACAGAAATGTCGGGTCTACCTGCATTAGCAAGGTTCTCCAAGAATTAATTCCGCCGTTCCTCGCTCTGGAGCAGGGGTTCTCAACCTTGGCAACTTTAAGACTTGTGGACTTCATTTGCTGAAGTCTTAAAGTTGCCAAGGTTGAGAACCCCTGCTCTAGAGGAAAGACTCACCCAACTTATAGATGAGGACAAAGCCAGCAGTCCACAGTGTGTCCGGCACAAGGAGAATCTCGTGGAAAAAACGCAGCACGGTTAAGTCCCGGTCCTTGGCAGGTCTGTCCTGGGTAGAGGAGCTCAGATGAAACCTGGAGGTGAACACGATGGCTGCGGCGTAGATTAGAGCCAGGTAGACGAAGAGGGCTCCCCAGCCCAGGTGATGGAGGAAGGTGAGCAGGCCTCCTCCCGCCAGGAGGGAGCCCAGTTTGTAGGCCACCACCTGGATGCTATTCCCAAAGCCCACCTCCTCCGCTCCCAACAGCTGGATGGCCACCCCATCGGTGGCCACGTCCTGGATGGAAGCGAAGAGGTTCATGAGCAGCAGAGTGACCGCCACTCCAAGGAAGTCCACTTCCGGAGTCAGGAAGGAACAGGCCAGGCATGTCATCGCCAAGCCGCACATGGTCAACATCAGCCAGGTCTTTTTGGAGAGATACCAGTCCACAAAGGGGGCCCAAAGTACTTTGAGGATCCATGGCAAGTAAAGCAGCTTCGTCAGGCTGATCTTGGTGAAGGAAAGGCCCGCCGTCCGGAAATAGACCGGCAAGAGTCCCGACTGGAGCCCGTAGGGGATTCCTTGCACGAAATACAGCAGGAACAGCAGCCAATATTTCAAAGTCATTCTTGGGTGGGTCCCGGTCTACCCTGCAAAGACAGACGGGTAAGCTGAGAGAGGCAATCGGAGCCTATTCACAGGTCGTCCTCAACTATCACAATGGAGCCTGGAATTTCGGAATTTTCCTGCCACAGTTGTTAAGTGAATCCGGCTTCCCCGTTGACTTGGCTCGTCAGAAAGTTGCAAAAGGGGATCACGTGACCCCGGGAGGCTGCAAACCGTCATAAATCTGAGTCAGGGGCCAAGCGGCCGAATTTTGATCACGTGACCACGAGGATGCTGCAACGGTCCTGTGTGAAAAGCGGGCCTAAGTCACTTTTTTCAGGGCCGTTGTAACGTTGAACGGTCACTAAATGAACTGTGGTAAGTCGAGGACTGCCCATAGAGCAGGGGTGTCAAACTGTCGGCCCGCCGGCCGGATGCATCACAAGGAAACCGCGCCCACCCCATTGCTGGCAATGGGAAAAACGTTCCGATATGTTGCGCAATGTCATGAGTTTGAGATGTCTGCTATAGAGGATAGCAGGCTGTTTTCCAGATAATTCTGGAAAATTCTGGAAAAAAGACTGCAGGATGTCTTTATGTCAGCCAGGAATTTCCAAAGCATTTTGTTTTTGTCTAATGCCATCATCGGCAACTAGGCCTCAAGGAGTTACCGAATAATAAGGGAGGGATACAAATTTTTTGAAAAATGAGTATATATAAATGAAAATCCTGCCACTCTGCAAAGGTGCAAAGCCACAGACAATCCCCGACTTACAACAGTGCATTGAATGACCAACTTACAACGGCCAAGTTAATGTTCCAAGTTACGACAACACAAATGACGTAGGACCGTTTTTCACCCTTACGACCGTTGCAGCACCCCTGTGGTCACGTGACCAAGATTCCGATGCTTGGCAAGTAACTCATACTTATGACTGTCCCAGGGGTCACGTGAACCTTCTGACGTGTTGTTAAGTTAACGTCAGCAAAGTCGTAAAATGGGCCAATCATGAATTAGCCTAGGTCTAGCTTAGCAACCAGAAACGTTGGCCCCCTGTCATGTAGAGGTTGGACTACATGACCTCCAAGGTCCCTTCCAACAACTACTACTACTTCTTCTTCTTCTTCTTCTTCTTCTTCTTCTTCTTCTTCTTCTTCTTCTTCTTCTTCTTCTTCTTCTTCTTCTTCTTCATCATCATCATCATTATTATTATTACTATTAGTGGTCATAAGTCGCATTTAAGACCAGATTGTTCAAATTGGGCAACTCTGAAGTGGGGTGAACTTCAACTCCCAGAATTCCTCGGGGCTGGGGAATTCTGGGAGTTGAAGCCCACTCCTCCTAGAGTTTCCCACTTGGAAAAAAATAAGTTTCAAACAGTTTTGCCTGGTTTCTAATGAGCCACCGGGGGGGGGGGAAGTCGCCGGTGCTGCCTCCCCGCACCCTCCCACGAAGCCGGGGTCACTGAGAGCCTGCGGAACTCCTTACCACTGGAGGAGACGGCCGCCCACCGGGCGTCTCCACGGAGGAGCCGGCCCCACTTGGACAGAAAGGCCCCCGGGGGCTCTTGCTCAGGGCCGGCCAGGCCAGCTTCCCCAACCCGCCGCCCCCATCCAGCCGGCGAGGTCTTCCCCGCCGCCCCCGGCGTTGCCACGGCAACTCCGCTCAAGGACCCCTTCGCCCTGGAACCGGCAGGGGGCGCTCGGCAGAGGAAATCGGCCTCTTTGATCATAAAGGAAGCGGAAGTGCGTGCGAGGAATCGCTGGGGAGGGCAGGCCGGGGCGCTCGGCAGAGGAAATCGGCCTCTTTGATCATAAAGGAAGCGGAAGTGATGTAGCGAGGAATCCCTAGGCAGGGCAGGCCGGGGCGCTCGGCAGAGGAAATCGGCCTCTTTGATCATAAAGGAAACGGAAGTGACGTAGGGAGGAATCGCTAGGGAGGGCGGGCCGGGGCGCTCGGCAGAGGAAATCGGCCTCTTTGATCATAAAGGAAGCGGAAGTGCGTGGCGAGGAATCGCTGGGGAGGGCAGGAAAAGAGTAGGCCCTGCGGGATGCCTGGGCCCCTAGAGACCTAGATTGTCGCCCATGTCGATTCGGTCAAACTGACTTCGCCGCCGGGAGCCAGGCGGAAGAAGGCGGGACGGCGCTCGGTGGAGCGGAAGCGTCCCCTTCTGATCTTAGAGGGACGCTCTAGCTTTCGCCTCTGTAATAAATGGCCGTTGGGCTGCGAGGAGAGCGGAAGAGGCGGGCAGTGTAATTATGCTGAGAAGCCTCTTGGTTCCTTACTCCGGTGGGGGAACAATTCCGGGAACGAAGGTTCCGGCTCAGCTCAGCGCAAACGGGGAACCCGGTTATTTTTTTTCTGAGTAAGGAGCGGCGCTTCCAGCCTCCGCAACCGCGCCTGGGGTGCTCCGGGGACGCAGCTCCGTCACCATCCCTTTGGGCAGGGAAGGAAGGAACGCTTCTAGATTCTGACTATAAACTGAGGGCAGAAGCCCCCTCCCTTTCAGCACTGATCATGTTACCTAATTGGGTCATGAAACGTCTGCAACAAAACCGCCCAGCTCTGCACCAGGGACCCCACAATCCTTTCCTCCTCTTTTTCCACCTCTTCCTCCTGTTTTTTCTTCTTCCTCCTCTCCTCCACCACCCCCTTGTAGCACTGATGATGTTACCTAGCTGGGTCATGAAACGTCTGGAAGAAAATTAACAGAGGGATAGAATCAAGATCACCTGAAGTATTAATACCACTTTACAAGGCCTTTTAAGGCCATACTTGGAATACTGCATCCAGTTTTGGTCACCACGATGTAAAAAAGATGTTGAGAGACTAGAAAGAGTACAGAGAAGAGCAACAAAGATGATTAGGCTAAAACATACAAGGAACGGTTGCTGGAATTGGATATGTCTAGTTTAACGAAGAGAAGGACGAGGGGGGACATGATAGCAATCATCCAATATCTCAAGGGCTTCCCCAAAGAAGAGGCAGTCAAGCTATTCTCCAAGGCACCTGAAGGCAGGACAAGAAGCAACAGATGGAAACTAATCAAGGCGAGAAGCAACCTAGAATTAAGGAGAAACTTCCTGACACTTAGAACAATTAATCAGTGGAACAACCTGCCTCTAGAGGTGGTGAATGCTTCAACACTGGGAGTTTTTAAGAAGAGACTGGACAGCCATTTGTCTGAAATAGGATAGGGTTTCCTGGCTGAGCAGGGGGTTGGACTAGATGACCTCCAAGGCCCCTTCCAACTTTATTATTGTTATTATTAAAATCATCAAGTTCAGAGAGGACTAAGGATCCTGCAGTTCAACCCCTATTCTGTTATTGGCTTCTAATTTCCCTAACTCCACCTCTAGATACAATAGCCATTTATCCCCCTCTCACCCCGATCATTTCCCCCCCCCCCCAGGTTTAGAAATCTCTTGTAGATACGGCCACAACTGAGCCCAAAGCTGCTGTTGCCGAGTGAGAGCATTGTTGAGTGAGTTTTGTCCCATTTTGCTCCAGTTGTTAAGTTAGTCACGGGGTCGTAAAGTGAATCTGGCTTCTCCGTTGACTTTTGCTTGTTGGAAGGTCACAAAAGGGGACCACATGAGCCCCAGGGAACTGCAACCGTCATAAGTACAAGTCAGTGGCCAGGTGACTGAATTTTGATCACGTGACCGTGGGGATGCTGCAAAGGTCGTAAGTGTAAAAAACGGTCCTACATCACTTTTTTCAGCAAACTTTTTAACTTTGAAGTCACTAAATGATCTGGTGCAAGTCAAGGGCTTCCTGTATTTTGTGATAGCAAAATAAGTTTGAAATTAGGAATTTCCATTACCCATAATAGCCGTGCTTACCTTTGGCTCAGGTTTTTATCCTGTACTGTTCTGAAGGGAAAACCCCCTTATTTATCCCAAATGTTTAGGTTGGCTCAAAGTACGTCATTTTCTTCACAGGCCAGTTAGAAATTTGGAAGGAGAAGACTTGTCAACTAACAACTCAGTCACTTGTCTGAGACGGTACTATAGGTTCTCCTGCTTGAGCAGGGGGCTGGACTAGAAGACCTCCAGGGTCCCTTCCAGCTCTATTCTAAAGCTTGCATGAAAGACAGGACACGGGCCACTTTCCGTGGAGTTTCAGATTGGTTTTCCATTGGATTTTCAAACCTGCCTTGCTTGTTGATGGGTGAGCTATGCAGGAAGTCCAGTCTGAGCTGGGTGAAGAAAGGTAGCCCTTAACATCCTCACTGGGGCAGTCGTGTTTATTATGGGAAAGTCAATTTTAGGAACCAAATGACTTAACTGGAACCGGTTTGGCTTCACTGTGGGATGCGGGAAGTTGTCTTAGGAATGCTTTTAATTCCTGCATTGAGCAGAGAGAGGGTTGGGCTCCATGACCTCAAAAGTCCCTTTCAGCGCTCAGATTCTGTGATTCAGAGGACGTATCAAGGAAGGATTCTCTTCACCCTTCCCTCCCCCTCCCTGGCACGGTGTTTATATAAAACTTTAATGCCCCACTCCAATGAGAAATAGTAAACTTATTTTAAAACTTTATGCTATTTATATAGTTGTTGTTAGTTGCGAAGTCGTGTCCGACCCATCGCGACCCCATGGACAACGTTCCTAATCTTCTGGAGTCCATTGAAGCTCACGCCTCCTGCTTCAGAGACTCCATCCAGCCACCTCCTTCTCTGTCGTCCCCTTCTTCTCTTGCCCTCCATCTTTCCCAGCATCAGGCCCTTCTCCAGGGAGTCCTTCCTTCTCATTAGGTGGCCAAAGGACTTGAGTTTCCACTTCAGGATCTGGCCTTCTAAAGAGCAGTCGGGGTTGATCTCCTCCAGGACTGACTGGTTGGATCGCCTTGCAGTCCAGGAGACTCGCAGGAGTCTTCTCCAGCACCAGAGTTCAAAGGCCTCCATTCTTTCAGCCTTTCTTATGGTCCAACTTTCACAGCCATACGTTGCAACTGGGAAAACCATGGCCTTGACTATACACGGTGCTTATACAAAACTTTAATGTCCCACTCAAATGAGAAAAGATTAAGCTTATTTTAAAACTTCATGCTATTTATATAGTAAAGAACAGAAAAAAGCAAACGCGATAGGTTAGGTTAAGTAAAAAAAATGTGTTTTATTCAGATCAAGTTCCAGTACAAAATCATTCCTCTTTTCTTCCTTAGAGGTGCTTACTTAATATTGCCTGGTGCAAATAAGCAGCGTGTGCGTTTGTCGTCCAGTTCAAAGGTCAGAAGGCAAATCAGGAATTCCAATTCTCCTGAGAAAGAGGAAATATCTGTTCGTCAAAAAAATATTGAAGACCACCAATCAATGCCTTACCCACTCCTTAAATCCTCAGTCCAACCCCATCATTGCCAGAATTCGCAGAGCAAAAGCCACGAGGTGAAGGAAGGCTCTTTAAGATTTGCCAAAATGTGTAGCGTTTCATATTTTTGGACTGAACCCATTTTCTTTTTAAAAGGACTCCCGACTAACCCTTGTTTAAGGTCGGGAGAACGGTGACCTTCCTTCATCTGCCCCACCTGCTTTGTAGAAAGCTGGGCAGTTGTCCAAGCGTTCTACAAAGTCGGTGGGGCAGATGAAGAAAAGTCTTCCAGGGATTTAACGCTGGCAGGGTGGCCGTCTCCTTTTCATAGCCAGGAGGGACGAAGCAGCCGTGCGACGGATGGGGCTTCTCCTCTCCAGATTCTGCCCAGCTCAGTTCACTTCCAGCGGACGATCTCCTCCGTGGCCAAGCGCATGATCTTATGGAAGTCAAAGCGAAGGTATTTTCTCCAGAAACGACGGTCTCGTCCGTAAATCTGAGCTGGGTAGCATGGACTCCCTGTGCAAGACAAAAACCAACCTCAGTGAAGCCAGCCCTGCGACAAAATCAAAGAAGCTGGGGCTTGCATTAGCAAAGCTATAGTGGAGATAGCAGGCAAGCTTTTACGCAGGCATGCTGTGCGCGCCGGCGTGCAGTTATGCTGACCACTTGACGCCGGAAGCATCTTTGGACGTTGGCTCCCTCAGCTAAGAAACAGACGAGCACCGCCTCCCTTTATCTTTTTATGCTCGCGTCTCTCTCTCTTTTTTTCTTTCAATAAATTTTATTGGTTTTCCAGTTTTACCTTTAAGTACTCGGAAAGCAGCTTGGTGACTGGGTAATCAGTGGTTCAATAACAAAATTTTTTAGTACATATCTCAGGTTACATCATCGAAAATTCCTTCTCTATTTCCCTTAACATTTGCTGTATCATATTTAGGCTAGTGCATTTCTAATTATGACTCTTAGTTAAAATGTTTATCAATATATTTTTTGCTTACACATACCCATGTCCTGTTTTTAAGTTTTACCTAATTTTTAGTTTTTAATTACAACGTCTCACTTTTCTTAAGTTAATCCTGTGGTCATCAGTACGGCTCTCGTCCATCTGAGGAGTTTCTCTTCCTTTCAGCATCTCTTTCAAAATTGAATTAACTGAATACTTTGTTTGGCTGGACTGTGATTAGACTGTGTTATGGCGATTCTAGTCCTCGGGGAGAGAAGAACCTCAACAGAGCAGGCTTTGTTTTAAGAAGAACTGTGGCTCCAAAAGAGAATTAAAGATTAAATTCAATCAGCCCCTTTCGATGCCACGGTCTTGGCTCTCTCTCCTCCTCTCTCGCTGCGTTTTATTTCTTTTTTTTTTATATAGATTGGAACAATCCATCCCAATATGTGCTTTTTCCACTGCCTTTACTTTTCAGCCTGTTTTTGTTTTGTGTCATAAATAAGCAGGCTTCTTTGAGCTTTTTTTTGTTTGTTTGTTTTTTTACATACTGACGTCTGCTCTCATTTCATCCCTAAAAAAGTCTTTTGGATCCTTTAAGAAAATGAACACGAGGTTTAGAAAAATAGGATAATGTTGGATTTGGATTAGGCAGGCCCAAGTCATCCCTTGATCCTGAAGCAAAACAGCTGATTTGGGGGCTTCAGGTCTCTTTACTGACAAAGTTCTTTGGGGATAAAGTTAGGAGATACATACATGTGTGGTTTTCGGAGACAAGGCAGGATAGAAATGCCTCAAATAAATAAGCAGGTTATCCTATGTCGTTCCTCATGTTTACATTTTCCACGCTACCCCCAAGAACCAGGTTATGTTGTGAGGCACAGTTAATAAGTGTCTCTAATACACAACTATAAGGCATCTGAAGCATTCTTGAGTCAGTTTTAATTGGAAGGAAACTTCGTTTCATCAGCAATGTCAAATAGCAACCTGAGTGCTAAAAAATAAGGTTACCGCTGTGTTGCAGCAATTTGGTGAGCAGAAATAAGGATCTGCATTTCCCAGGAATCTCTGCAATTGTCCTTTTTTTAAAAAAAAATGGAATACAGCCCATCAGCTACCTATTAGCCCGACATTTCCTTAGCCTTGGAAACCTTCAGTCAAATTGCTTTTGCCTCTTCACCCTAGTGAACCTTCTCTGAGCTCATAAACCAAGAAAGGTTGGGCCTGGTTAGTCCTGGATTTAAAAAAACAAAGTCAAGCCACTTCCCTATTGTTGCCAGGAAAACCGCGTGGTCCCAGGACTTAAGGCGATGCAAAGGAGGCCTTGCCTTGTTTGAAAATGGCTGAACAAAAATTCCCTAAAGAAATTGCTACGTAATTCAGCCGAGTGCAGATTCTAAAAGAGGAGCCTCACCAATTCCATGGAAAATCCTGGCCACGGCCCTGCCCGAGAACTTTTCGTCTTGACGGATGGAGAGGAAGTGGCGAACGTCAGCTTGGATTTGCTGCTCCCATTCCTGAAACTATAACCGGGAAGGAAATTCCAGGGAGAGTGAAATCAGCATTAAGGGAATAAATGCTGGTCTTCTTTAGCAATGCACAGTTTCAGCCTATGGCCCTGCTTTAGTTCAGGGCTCTTCAAACTTGGCCCTTGGATGACTTGGGGACTTCAACTCCCAGAATTCCTCAGCCAGGCACGCGTGCCTGGCTGAGGAATTCTGGGAGTTGAAGTCCCCAAGTCATCCAAGGGCCAAGTTTGAAGAGCCCTGCTTTGTTTATTTATGAGACTTATATACCGCTTTAAGTGCAAGCACTCTCTAAGCGGTGTACGCCAGTAAGCAATGTCTATATATATTTACATTGCCCCCAACAATCTGGGTCCTCCTTTTACCTACCCCGGAAGGATGGAAGGCTGAGTCAACCTTGAGCCGGTGAGATTTGAACCGCTGACCTGCTGAACACAGTCAGCTAAAGTGGCCTGCAGTACTGCACTCTAACTGCTGCGCCCCCTCTTAACGAAGAGAAGGACGAGGGGGGGACACGATAGCAGCTTTCCAGTATCTCAGGAGCTGCCCCAAAGAAGAGGGAGTCAAGCTATTCTCCAAAGCATCAGAAATAAGACAAGAAGCAACGGGTGGAAGCTCATCAAGGAGAGAAGCAACCTAGAACTAAGGAGAAACTTCCTGAGTGAGAACAATTAACCAGTGGAAGAACCTGCCTCCAGAAGTGGTGAATGCTCCAACACTGGACGTTTTTAAGAAGAGATTGGACGGCCATTTGTCTGAAATGGTATAGGGTTTCCTGCCTGAGCAAGGGGTTGGACTAGATGACCTTCAAGGTCCCTTCCAACTTTATCATCATCATCATCATCATTATTTGCAATTGAATGTCCACAAATGATCCCACTTCGGGCATAGAAAGCTGCCCTTTAAATCAAGGGTGTCCAACCTTGAAAACTGTAAGACTTCAAAACTCTGTCCAAGACTGTGGCTTTCCACACCCAGAACTGCCCAGTCCACCATGCTGGCTAGAGAATTCTGGGAGTTGAAACTCACGAGCTGTAAAGTTGCCAAGACTGGATACCCTTGCTGCAAATCGATAACACAATTTTCCCCTTGGATCAACCTCTGCGCTCTGCTGCCCTCTAGACGCATCGGGACCCCCCAACCCCCCGCCCCAAGAGCCCTAGCAGAGCCACCAATCTGCAGAAGGTGAAAGTAGGACAGGATCTCGTCAGCGTTCGTGCTCTGGAGCCCGATCCAGACGAAAAGCTGGATTTCCTCACCTGAACATCCTGGATTTGATCAGCTTCAGGCTCTGCGCCCAGGGAGGGCTCCCCCAGCACCGGCTGCCTCTCGAAATAGCCCATCAGCAGAGACTTCAACTGGCTGCTCCTCTCCTGGTCTGCACAGTCACAGCACAAGGCACAAGTAGGGAAAGCCACGCTGTGGAAAAACACACAAGACACACAAGGGAGGTAAGGCACGGCGGGGGTCCAGCAGTAGAGGTAGCCTTCGACTTAACAGTCGTGGCCAAAATGGTGGAAACCTTTTGGGAAAAGTGTACAGTAGAAATGCCACTTTTGGTTAAGTTTCCACCCATTTTTCTTCTCATTTCTTTAGAACTGTAGCCTTGCTCACTTAATAATACTACTTTACATTGCTTTCTGGGTGACCAGTCAATTCTTTGCACCATGACTTTAACTTTATGATGTTTTACAAGCTCACTCAATGAAAGAACACAAAAAAATCCCAACCGACTTGATAGCCATCCCACAACACACTGACCAATGTCCTCCTCTCAGCTTCAAAACAGGACATCCATCACTGGATCCTACTGTGATCCGATTGGCTCATGGCCAAAATAAGAGGACACCCGATTGGCTCTCTAAACGCTCATGCTCATTGGCTACAGTCAGGTGAAGGAAAGCTACCAGAGACCAACCTAAGCAAGTTGTGCTTCCTTTTTCTGGTTATTTGGCTATAACTCTTCATAGAATACAGTACAGGTAATTGAACAAACTTGGCTGCATTACATTCTTGATTCAATTATCCTTCCGTTGATATATAATTTCATGGTACTGCTCCTGAAAAATAAGGGGTGTTCTTAGCCATCAAACCTCAAAAATTCACTTTTCCCAAAAGGTTTCCACAATTTTGGCCACTCCTGTACAACAAGTTATTTTTAGAGACCGTTCAAAGTTACGACGCTGCTGGAAAAAGCGACATAAGACTACCCTTGAAGAGCGTTCGGAGGCTGCAGTTGGTTCAGAATGCAGCCGCGAGAGCGATTGTGGGTGCACCAAGGTACACCCATGTGTCACCTATCCTCCGCGAGCTGCACTGGCTTCCTGTGGGTCTCCGGACGCAATTCAAGGTGTTGGTTGTCACCTTTAAAGCCCTTCATGGCTTAGGACCAGGTTACTTACAGGACCGCATACTGCCGCACAGTTCCCAGAGACCAGTGAGGTCCCACAGATTGGGCCTCCTTCAGGTCCCGTCGGCCAGACAATGTCGGCTGGCGGGCCCTCGGGGAAGGGCCTTTTCTGTGGTGGCTCCGACCTGATGGAATCAACTTCCCCCCGAGGTTCGAACAACTCCCACCCTGCCAGCCTTTAAGAAAGCCGTTAAAACTCTCCTGTTCCGGCAGGCCTGGGGCTGATGTCCCCGAGGGGGGGGGGGCGGGACATGATCGGACTTGCGGTATGATTGTATTATTTTATTGTTTTATTCTCGATGATTGTTTTAATTTTGTACGCCGCCCTGAGTCCTTTGGGATTGGGCGGCATATAAATAAATTAATTAAATAAATAAAATAAATAAACAACCCGCTTTCATTGCTTGTCATTTAGAACGGCCGCTAAAGGAACGGTCGTTGAGTCAAGGACTGCCTGTACTTGGTCAGGACCCACCCAGCGGCCCCTCTCTGCGACTTCCCACCTCTGAAAAGCCTGGAAGCAGACTCGGAGCTGATGGAGGGCTGCCTTTTCGCGACTCGCGACTCGCCGGTACAGGAACTCGCAGACCGCATCCAGCTCATCGTCGCTGAGATCCCCGTAGGAGCGCAGGTGGAAGGAGAGTTCCATGAATTCCACCAGGATCTCACTCTTCCGAGGCCCCTGGCCACCTGAGCAGGGAGAAAAGAGCGGCCGACGATGGGTTGGTACCCCCAGGTCCCCCAGCGCGTTCTGGATCAGTCTCTGTCAGGCTGCAAAATATACTATCTTTAGGACCGCCGTAGTGCTTCTAGCTTGCCTACGGTTAGTGGGAGGGGGGGGGAAGGAGGAATTTGGGATCCACAGGTGCTTCCTATCGGTGTGAGAGCCGAAGCAGCTGAGATGTTTTGGCGAACCAAAGTTTCTTCTCTTAACAGTTGCTGGAACAGTGGTTCTCAACCTTTTTAATGCCGCGACCCCCAACCGGTCGTAAGTCGAGGACTACTCAACTGGTGCAGCACCGTTTGCAGATTGGAGTTTTTGGCAGGCTCAGCAGGGCAGAGACAGCCTGGACATTTCCTATTGGCTTTTGAAAGCCAATAGAATTAGACTCTATTCAAGAGAATAAAAGGGAGTAGCACAGCTAAGGAAAAGGGGGGAAAATGGCGGACTGCGTTGTTTGGCGACCCCCCGTGAAATGGTCGTTCGACCCCAAATGGGGTCCCGACCCACAGGTTGAGAACCACTGTGCTGGAAGATTAATTGGACAATGTGGCCTTAACAGAGAGGGGAGGGGAGGGAAAGTTTTACTCTTTTAGTTGTCTGTTTCCCACCATATTTTCAGAGCTAGCTTCCCTTCTATCTGACTGGTTTGCTAATGCCCAATAAAGTTTACACTAGAGATCGCAAATGTCTCTGGTGTTTTTTGCTTCGCTGGGCTTCTCAGCCAGAATTTGACACTCTCTTGACAGGGAAAAAGGTGAAATGCAGCTGGTTAGCTTCCCTTCTGAAACTGCTCAGGCTAGCGTGTATTCACACAGACTCCTTAGGTTTATGATGTATGTGTCATTCCTTGTTATCTCCGTGGCCTTGAGTAAATTCCTCTCCTAATCAGAGGTGTGTGTGTCTTCCTTTGTTTGGAGGCTTGCCAGAAATGTGGAAGCATTTGAGGAAAATTTGGAGCAATTCAAGGGCAGTTTGAATTGCCAGCTGACTGCATTGCCTCTGTGCTGTGCCCTCGGTCAACACACCTCTTGGGGATGGGTGGCAAACACAACGCGGGGGTCCTGCTTCTTTTCTGGGCTGTGACTGAGAACGAGCTCAGATAAAAGTCTCCCCCAAACAGCCCCCTGCACGCCAGTTGACCAGGCTCTCCACTGGCTCACCCTTCTGCCATTGGGTGTTCCACTGCAGCTGTCGTAGAGCCCGTTTGACAGGCAGGACCTCCCAGCCCATGGAGTCGGCCAGGGCACTGACGTCAAACTCCACAGAGCTGGCCTGGATGGCTGTGCTCCCTTTCAGGCGCTGCTGGGCCAAGCAGACCGCAAGCGGAGGGCACCTGGGGGGCAGAAGAGACAGCAAGGAAGGAGTCAACACTCTATACTTACCAACCAAACTGTCATGGTTCCAACAGATGAAACTCTTCAAAGAACTTCAAGGCATAGTTTACCTTAAAGAATCTTTATTCGAGTAACACAGCATCAGCACGTACATAGGCCAAGCCAAAATCTGACTTCCCCTCCCCTGAGCCCATAGTATCAAAGCACAATTCCCTCCTCTAATTAACAGTCATAAATCACATTCTCCAATTAGCTTGAAATGCAGGCTTCCCCTCCAGTTCTCCAGCCCCCATTCCTTATCATCTCTTATTTCAAAAGCCCTGAATTCACACACTGTTACAAAATTGTTATGTCTAACTAACTCCCATCACATTCTTCCTCCTCCCCCAGCATCATCTAATTCTAAGAGTAAAGCATAAGGAAGAATAAGGCTGCATCTCCGTATGTTGTCAAAGCGAGAACATCCAATGTTAGCAGCCTTGACACAAACTTGACTGCAAGAATAAAACAGGTATTTTGGGATCTGCTACCTAAAGAAGCAGCAGCAGTTAAAATAAAATATAACAGAGTCGGAAGGGGCCTCAGAGGTCTTCTAGTCCAACCCCCTGCTCAGGCAGGAAACTCCATTCCATTTCAGACAAACAAACACAAGACACCTTTTTTATACCTCCCTCTGTAAAGGAGGTGGGGCGGTTTCTAAATCTGACCAATAAAATAAGTAATAAATACGGCAACCGGCAAAACTTGATTGGTTTACAGAATTTATATACAGATAGTCCTCAAGGTGATTTGTGACCGTTTTCCCCACTTATGACCGTTGCAGCATCCCCACGGTCACGGGATGAAAATTCGGACGCTTGGCAACTGACCCGTGTTTGTGACGGTCGCCGTGTCGTGGGATCCACCTTTTGTGGCCTGACAAGAAAAGCCAATGGGGAAGCCATGTTCTAACTTAACTAAGTTAGCGATGGTGGTGAGCATCTGTGGCTTGGGTGTAGGATGAGGGGGTGGAAGTTCATTCTCCAAGCTTGTCGGGTTGCTGTCTGAACATTTTGTGAGTTCACCGAAGCCTGGCACCCCGCCAGCCATTCCATCCACAGACCCATCGACCCGCCACCAGCCTACGGACCCTTCAGGATCCAAATCAAGCACACAGCCAACAAGGGACAGCCCTCAACCATCCCAGGCAAGCCCCCCCCCCAACTAGCACTTCACCTCCCAAGGACCCTCACCTGACATGACCTCCCCATCACAAGACCCCCCCACCTGATGTGACACACCTGCCCCATCACTAGACCCTCACCTGACCCATTACAAGATCCATCACAAGACCTTCACCTGACACAACCTACGCCTGACCCATCACTAGACTCTCACCTGACGTGACCCACACCTGACCCTTCACAAGACCTTCAACTGTGATCCTCACCTGGCCCATCACTAGACCCTCACCTGACGTGACATGCACCTGCCCCATCACTAGACCCTCACCTGTGACCCACACCTGACCCATTACAAGACCCATCACAAGACCCTCACCTGACGTGACACACAGCTGCCCCATCACAAGACCTTCACCTGACACAACCCACACCTGACCCAGCACAAGACCCTCACCTGACGTGACCCCCACCTGACCCACCACAAGACCCTCACTTGACACAACCTACACCTGACCCATCACGAGACTCTCACTTGACGTGACCCACACCTGACCCTTCACAAGACCTTCAACTGTGATCTTCACCTGGCCCATCACTAGACCCTCACCTGAGGTGACATGCACCTGCCCCATCACTAAACCCTCACCTGTGACCCACACCTGACCCATTACAAGACCCATCACAAGATCCTCACCTGACATGACACACAGCTGCCCCATCACAAGACCCTCACCTGACACAACCTACACCTGACCCATCACAAGATCCTCACTTGACACAACCTACACCTGACCCATCACTAGACTCTCACTTGACGTGACCCACACCTGACCCATCACAAGACCTTCAACTGTGATTCTCACCTGGCCCACCACTAGACCCTCACCTGAGGTGACATGCACCTGCCCCATCACTAGACCCTCACCTGTGACCCACACCTGACCCATTTCAAGACCCCTCACAAGACCCTCACCTGATGTGACCCTCACCTGACCCACCACAAGACCCTCACTTGACACAACCTACACCTGACCCATCACGAGACTCTCACCTGACGTGACCCACACCTGACCCTTCACAAGACCTTCAACTGTGATCCTCACCTGGCCCATCACTAGACCCTCACCTGACGTGGTATGCACCTGCCCCATCACTAGACCCTCACTTGTGACCCACACCTGACCCATTACAAGACCTATCACAAGATCCTCACCTGACGTGACACACAGCTGCCCCATCACAAGACCCTCACCTGACACAACCCACACCTGACCCATCACAAGACCCTCACATGACGTGACCTCCCCATCACAAGACCCGCTGACCACACCAAGCTGAACAACACACAGACACTGACATCCCCTGAACTCGGCCGAAGAGGCTACCTAGCCTGATAACGAAATGTTCGGGAAATCAACCCACAAGCCCGGAGAACGAACCTCCATCCTCTTAACTAACTTAACCACGGCAGTGATTCACTTAACAACAGTGGCGAGAAAGGTCATAAAATGGGACAAAATTCACGTAGCAACTGAGATTTGGGGCTCCGTTGTGGTTGGGTACTGGATCTCTGCAATGGCTGTGAAAGAAAGGCTTGTTTCTCAATCCCCCTACATCAGGGCTCTTCCAACTTGGCCCTTGGATGACTTGTGGGCTTCAACTCCCAGAATTCCTCAGCCAGGCACGCGTGCCTGGCTGAGGAATTCTGGGAGTTGAAGTCCACAAGTCATCCAAGGGCCAAGTTGGAAGACCCCTGTCTTAAAACATCCTGGCTGAGGAATTCTGGGAGTTGAAGTCCCCGAGTCATCCAAGGGCCAAGTTGGAAGACCCCTGCCCTACATGCTCTCCCACACTGGCCTGATCCTTTCCCTCCTTCCTTTTCTCACCTTCGAGACACTGTCCGCAGCTGCTGAGGACCTCTGTAGCACGAAACCCGGCACGAAGAGAAAGTGGGGTGCAGCAGCTCTACCCAGCGACAGGGGTGCAGTTCCAGGTAACACAGAAGCGTCTCTATGCCTGAAAAGGAACACTTTGGGTTAAGCAGGCAAGAACACGCCTGGCCGTGTCCATTTGAGAACGTTTTTGCCGGTGCTTTCCATTCATGAACATAAGATAACCTTTATTGTCATTTTTTTTTTTTACTGTGGGCACACTGGCACACATTAAAAATGAAATTGTGTTGCCTGCTCTCAACAGTGTAAAATATGTGGGCCTCAAAATACGCATATCACGTGAAGGGTTAATTCCACTTTACAAGGCCTGGGTAAGGCCACACTTGGAATCCTGCATCCAGTTTTGGTCACCAGGATGTAAAAAAGATGTTGAGACCTTGGAAAGAGTGCAGAGAAGAGCAACGGAGATGATCAGGGGACTGGAGGCTAAAACATACAAGGAACGGTTGCTGGAATTGGGTATGTCTAGTTTAAGGAAGAGAAGGACGAGGGGGGACATGATAGCAGTATTCCAGTATCTCAGGGGCTGCCCCAAAGAAGAGGGAGTCAAGCTATTCTCCAAAGGGCCTGAAGGCAGGACAAGAAGCAACGGATGGAAACTAAGCAAGGAGAGAAGCAACCTAGAACTAAGGAGAAATTTCCTGACAGTGAGAACAATTAACCAGTGGAACAGCCTGCCTCCAGAAGCAGTAAATGCTCCAACACTGGAAGTTTTTAAGAAGAGACTGGACAGCCATTTGTCCGAAATGGTATAGGGTTTCCTGCCTGAGCAGGGGGTCGACTAGATGACTTCCGAGGTCCCTTCCAACTTTATTATTATTGTTGTTGTTGTTATTTAGACGTGAACCTCAGTCAACTGAGCATTCAAATCGGCTGGCGCTGATGGTTGACACACAGGTTGCTGCCAGCATCCTAGGTGTCAGCCAGGTACCACCTTAAAATGTAAGATGTTCCGAGTAGCGCATTTTTTTTGTAACATTGCTGGAGTTATTGCAGGAAGCTGCAGTTTCTTGATGTGTTATCATCACCATCATCATCACCCTCACCTTCTTCTCGGAGATCCAGGGCTTCCACCGTCTGTTGAATGGGGACAGCCCTCTCGTGTTTATAGCATATTCGTGACTGCTCCTGTTCTGGGTCAAGGGGCTTTTGTGAACTTCCTTCTAGGGCCGTCAGCATCTCCGCATCCTCCACTTCACAGCCCTGGGGAGTCAGAATGTTTGGTCATGTTCAAGAGCAGAGCGGTTTTCATCCCAAGTCCTCAGCACTGAGGGGTGGGCTGACCAGAGAGTCAAGCAGTCTTGCTGGGCTTGTATGTCTTTCTCTGGAAACAGAACGTTAGGCTAATGCAAGGCTAGGCAACCTGGGCTCTTTTATGACTCGTGGACTTCAACTCCCAGAATTCCTGAGCCAGCCGTGCTGAGGGGAAAGGGAGAGGTTTCCAAGCTGAGCCAGGCTGGCTCAGGAATTCTGGGAGTTGAAGTCCAACAGTCATGAAGGGGGTCATAGTTCCCCCAGGCTGGCTCAGGAATTCTGGGAGTTGAAGTCCACCAGTCATGAGGGGGCCATAGTTCCATGATGGCTCAGGAATTCTGGGAGTTGAAGTCCACAAGTCATGAAGGGGCCACAGTTCCCCCACGCTGGCTCAGGAATTCTGGGAGTTGAAGTCCACCAGTCATAAAAGAGCCAAGGTTGCCTACCCCTGGGCTAATGTCTGATATCACAGTTGGCTTCTTCAGTCTTGCTTGGAGATTGAACACTTGGGGGTGGGTGGGATACAATGTGATTGGATTAGGAATTGGGAGGGGGGAGAGAGGGAAGAACGAGGAGGGGAAGAACTGGAAGAAGGGGAGGAAGAGGAGGCGGAAGTAGGAAAAAGAGGAAGGAAGAAGGAAGGAGGAAAGAGGGAGGAGGGGGGAGGAGAAAAAAGGGGAAGGAGGAGGAGGAGAAGGGGAATTATTCTGATGTGGGTGAGGAGAAGCCAATGCTGTCTTGTTCTGATCAGATCTCTTAATGTTTTTCCTTTGGGTCACAATGCATGTTTTTGAAAGCCACCTAAAATCCACGCTGAGATTCAGGAACACATAACACAAAATTTTGGGGACGCTTGGAAAAAAGATGGGATTTAACAATGCAAGAAAACAACCTGGCCCCTCATTGCACAGCTCTTACAATCACAAGATAAATTAGTGCCTGCTTGATGACCAGCTGCGGCACCCCATAGTCACACGGCCACATTTTTTTAGCAAGTCTGGTCAGTTTCCCGCAAAATAAGTCATAAAATTGGGCATGGACCTGTGCTGACCTGCTTAATGACTGTCATGACTTATGACTGTAATTCCAGGCACAATTATGATAGTAAACCGAAGGCTACCTGGATATTCAACCATGCTGGTACTCCTAAGAAACAGCTTTTAAAGAGGTCTCTGGCCAGCTGTCCTCTCCTACGCCTGCTGGCTCCTCTTTCCTCACCTTGTTGAGGTCCTGCTGCTTCTGGTGAAGCTCTCGGCATCTGCAGCGTGGGAAAACCATCTGCACCAGCCTGTTGATGGTGAAGAAGTCAACCGTGTCTGCGTAAATATGGCGCCTCAATTCATGCAAATCCTCACCCTGGCGAGGAGAAGAGCCACTTTGTGAATGGTGGAAAAATAGGCATTATTATTATTATGGTTTATTACCTAGGCATATGAATGACTATCATTTTCTCCTCCTTCCGGAAACATATAAGTGCATCCATTTATCTGCATTAAAACCATTTATCGCATTACTTTTGGGAGGGAACTCTCCCAGGGCATACTGTTAAAAATATAAATACTACAGGGAGCCTCTATTATTGGTTTTGGGATCCTGCATTCGATTCCACAAGATGTAGAATTGGAAGTTCCTCCGCAAGCATGTTAAGGGACAACAGGTTAAGTGTTGGAAGGGACTTTGGAGGTCTTCTAGTCCAACCCCATCCCCATAATAGGAGATACTATACAATTCTGGACAAATGTCTACCCAGTCTCTTCTTAAAAACCTCCAGTGATGGAGTACCCATAACTTCTTGAGGCAAGTCGTTCCACTAATTAATTGTCCTCACTTTTAGGAAGTTTCTCCTTAATCCCTTAATCTCTTCTTGATTAGTTTCCATCCGTTGCTTGCTTTTGGGTGCTTTGGAGACCAGCTCGACTCCCTCTTCTTTGGGGCAGCCCCTGAGATATTGGGAGACTGCTATCCTGTCCCCCCTCGTCCTTCTCTTCTGAACTTTTGAGAGAATACAGAATAATAGAGCTGGAAGGGACCTTGGAGGTCTTCTAGTCCAGCCCCCTGCTCAAGCAGGAAACCCTATAGCAGTGATGGCGAACCTATGGCACGCGTGCCAGAGGCGGCACTCGGAGCCCTCCCTGTGGGCACGTGTGCCGTCGCCCCAGCCCCGCCTCCCCCCACAGCCCCCACCTCTCCAGCAACCCCCCTGGAGGAGAGTCGCCCCCAGGCGCGGCCTGCATGAAGCAGCGCAGCCAAGGACATAGCCAGGCCTCGTGCCTCATAGCATGCAGATGATGCTGCGGGGTGTGGGCAGAGGGCGTGGCTGCCATGACGCTGCAGGGCTGCCTGGGCGATCTGCGGCAGCCATGGAGGCAGTGCGTGGTCCTGCGGGAGGGCAGGGCAGGGGCGGAGCAGGCAGGATGGGAGGCAGAACGGGGGCAGGGGGCAGTTTTTGGGCACTCAGTCTCTAAAAGCTTCGCCATCACTGCCCTACACCATCTCAGACAACTTGTCCAGTCTCTTCTTAAAAATCTCCAGTGATGGAGCACCCGCAATTTCTGGTGGCAAGCTGTTCCACTGGTTGATGGTCCTCACTGTCAGGAAGTTTCTCCTTAATTCCAGGTTGATGAGTTTCCATCCGTTGCTTCTTCTCCTGCCTTCAGGTGCTTGGTGGCAGCCCCTCAAATATGTGATGCACACACCTGTGGCAGGTTTTCAGGCTGAACAAATCCCCTAGAACGGATCATACTTTACCTCCGGGTTTAGGAAGAGATGACAGTGGGCGGGCTGGCCATCCCGCCCCGCCCGCCCGATCTCCTGCACGTAGCTCTCGAAGTTCTTGGGCATGTTGTAATGCACAACCCCGCGCACGTCCGACTTGTCCAAGCCCATCCCAAAGGCCACGGTGGCCACCACCACCCGCAGCTGCCCAGACATGAAGCTGGTCTGCACCCGGCGGCGTTCGTGGGCCGACAACCCGGCATGGTAGGCATCGGCAATCCATTTCAGAGGGCGGCGGAGGCTCTTTTTAGCTAGGTGGAAACGAGAGGAGAGCAAAAGTGTGAGGCTCACGGCAAGCCTGGGAGAAACGTCACTCAGATAGGTAAACCACAGCTTGTTTCGAGGATTCAAAAGTGCTGGAAAAAAGCTGGTTTGTTCCAGAAAGGAAAGATCCCATGCCTGTTTGGCTGTGCTTTGTCAGAGCATGCACAGTCTTATCGCGCTGAGATAACCCAAGAGTAAATACAGTAAACAATGGTCTATTTTAAATGGTGGTTTATATTACACTATCTACAATATACACTAGGAACAAAATACATACATGTGGTAATACATCAAACTCCAATAGACAGCAATTAGAGCAGAAAACGGACGAGAGGGAGGGAGGGAGGGAGAGAGAGAGAGAGATTTCAGAAAAAAGCCTTCCCTTTTATACTCAGGCTCTTAAAGGGATACAGACCCTGCTGAGTCATTCCCATCATTACATCTTCCACCTTACATTATATTACATCATTACACAAACTGTTTAGCTATTATTACCTTGACATGCTTTAATTCTGGAAGGATCTTCTCTCAGAGAAGCTTAGTGGGCTGGTACCCTGACATCATTTTGGCACTAGGCAAAGGCTGTCCTCGACTTACGACAATTTGTTTAGTGACCGTTCGAAGTTGCAACGGCACTGAAAAAAAGTCACTCAGGACCGTTTTTCACACTTACGACCATTGCAACATCCCCGGGGACAAGTGAGCAAAATTCAGACGTTTGGCCACTGACTCCTATTGAAAGCGTCCCTATGATACTCGGTCAAAATTCAGATGTTTGGAAACTGACTCGTACTTATGACGGTTGCAGTGTCCTGGGGTCATGTGACCCCCCCTTTTGCGACCTTCCGACAATGAGGAAACCAGATTCACTTCACGACCGTGTTACTAACATAACAACTGCTGTGATCCACTTAACAACTGTGGCAAGAAAGATTGTAAAACGGGGCCAAACTCACAACAATTGTCTTGCTTAGCAATGGAAATGTTGGAGTCAGTTGTGGTCCTAAGTTGAGGACAAAAAGAACAATTCTTTTCTGCCACTTCTCTTCTTCTTACTACCCAGCTATTCCCCAGGTCAGTTCTGCCAATCACCCCCAGTCAACCACTACCTTTGGCTTTTGGCCTTTTTCCAGGGAGACGGTCTTGCGCCTCTTGCTCTGCTTCACAGGGGGGGCCTCTCAGCTTCACCCCCTGCAGACACGTGCGGATGAACGCTGCAATCCGCGTCGTCTCTTCCCGGCGCGTGCAGTACACAATGATGGAGTCCAGGCTTCCAAACCTCTCCCCTTGCAGCAAACGTACGAGAGCCTGCAAAAATCATAGTGTCAACGCTGCTAACATCGGACGCTCTTGCTTTGACAACACATGGAGATGCAGCCATTTTCCTTCTTATGTTTTACTCTTAGAATTAGAGTTGGAATTAGGTGATACAGGGGGGAGGGGAGGAGGAGGAATGTGCATGGGAGTTTAGCTAGACAACAATATTGTGACTAGTGTGAGAACCAAGGTTTTTTGAAATTATGGGATTGGAGGCTAAAGCATATAAGGAACGGCTACTGGAATTGAGAATGTCTAGTTTAATGAAGCGAAGGACCAGGGGGGACATGATAGCAGCGTTCCAGTATCTCAGGAGCTTCCCCAAAGACGAGGCAGTCAAGCTATTCTCCAAAGCCCCTGAAGGCAGGACAAGAAGCAACGGATGGAAACTAACCGAAGACAGAAGCAACCTAGAACTAAAGAGAAACTTCCTGACAGTGAGAACAATTAACCAACAGAACCACCTGCCTCCAGAAGCGGTGAATGCTCCAACACTGGAAGTTTTTAAGAAGAGACTGGACAGCCATTTGTCTGAAATGGTATAGGGTTTTCCTGCCTGAGCAGGGGATTGGACTAGATGACCTCCAAGGTCCCTTCCAACTCTGTTAATTGTTCTGTCAGGAAGTTTCTCCTTAGTTCTAGGTTGCTTCTCTCCTTGATCACTTTCCACCCGTTGCTTCCCCCCAATGTCCTTAAAAGAAGACTTCTCACTCCCACTCCCCCCAGACCAAGGGTCTCTCTTCTATGGAAGCACCTGGCTGGGCTCCAGACTTACTTGATCCTTGTCTCTGTCTGTGGAGACGGAGAGACACAAGTTTGGAGGAACCGCAGCAGAACGCACAGCCAGCCCTTCACCCTCCGGGATGCCCAAGTGGTGGGCCACGTCCCCTGCCGTTGAAACGGTGGCGGTGGCTGTCAGGCCTAAGAAGCACCGCACACCCAACCGTTCCCGAAGAACCTGCCAGCGAAGGAACGGGGAGGTCATCCGAACCCTTCAACAAGGCTTCCCAATTTCCAAGGACAGCTCGTCCTTGACCTACCACCACAACTGAGCTCCAAATTTATTAATTGAGACATTTATTAAGTGACTTTTGCCTCATTTTACCATGTTTCTTGCCACCGTTGTTAAGGGAATGGCTGCAGTTGTTAAACGGGTAACAAGGTCGTTAAGGGAATCCGACTTCGCTCGTCAGACGGTCGCTAAAGGGGATCAGGTGATCCCAGGACACTGCGACAGTCATAAATGGGCTGCCAAGTGTCTGAATTTTGGTCACGTGACCAGGGGGAATGGCGCAACGGTGGTGAGTGTGGAAAATGGTCATAAGTTGCTTTTTTCAGTGCCATTGTAACTTTGAAGGTTCACTAAATGAACTGTTGTAAGTCCAGGACTACCAATATACAGAATAGAATAGAATAGAATTATAGGTTAGAATAGAATAGAATAGAATAGAATAGAATAGAATAGAATAGAATAGAATAGAATAGAATAGAATAGAATAGAATAGAATTATAGGTTAGAATAGAATAGAATAGAATAGAATTATAGGTTAGAATAGAATAGAATAGAATAGAATAGAATAGAATTATAGGTTAGAATAGAATAGAAAATGGAATAGAACAGAACAGAACAGAACAGAATCCAGAAAGAGTAGAACAGAACAGAGTAGAGTAGAATAGAATAGAACAGAACAGAATATAGAATAGTTAAAAAATAGAATAGAATAGAAAATAAAATAAAATAAAATAGAAAATAAAATAATAGAATAGAATATAGAATAGAATAGATGAAAAATAGAATAGAAAATAGAATAGAATAAAAACTAGAATAGAATAGAAAATAGAATAGAATAAAAACTAGAATAGAGTAGAATATAGAACAGAATAGAAAAAATAATAGAATGGAATATAGAATAGAAAATGGAATGGAATGGAATGATATAGAATAGAACAGAACGGAATGGAATTATTGTCATTTTTTTACTGTAGGCACATTGGCACATGTTAAAAATTAAATTTTGTTGCTTGCTCTGAAAAGTGTACGCATACAGAACACCCATTTAGACGTGCTATATACAACATATGTATAAACCTACACCCTTACGTATAAATAACATATAAATATTCATCACTGTCCCATCTTGAACACACAACGGAAAGAGGAAGCGTTAGAGTGGACTTCAACTCCCAGAATTCCGCAGCCAGGAAAGCCACGGCTGAGAATTCTAGGAGTTGCAGTCCACTCCCTTTCCATTTGCCAAAGGTTGGGAAAAGCCGACAAGAGCTCCAGAGGGAACTCTTCAGAATGCTGGTGCCGATTGCTCGGGGTCTTTGACCCTAGAGGCCCCCTCCTCCCTGTATCCCAACCCACCTTCCCGCTCGTTCGCCTTCCGTACCTTACAGAGCCGGAGGTAGCAAGGGCGGAAATTGTGCGACCACTCGGACAGGCAGTGCACTTCGTCGATGCAGGCGAAAGCCACGGGGGGAAGCTGATCCGCGGGGGGGAGGCAGCTGCCACTCGAGAGGCCCCCCCCAACTAGGGCCTCGGGGGACAGCAGGAGCACCTGGACTTTCCCGGCTTTTACCTGCAAGCAGAACACCTGGGTGGGTCAGGGGCACTGGCTTTCCCTGCCACCCTGCTGAGCACTGGACATTCAACCTTGCTGGGCAGGGCAGAGTACTGGGAGCGCTCGATTAGCGACCGCCGTTGAGCCCAGAATTCCCCTCGGAAAGCAAGACCCTTAAGTGAGTTTGGCCCGACTCTACGGCCTTTCTTGCTAGAGTTGTTAAGTGAATCCTGACAGATGTTACGTGGGTCACAGCATTAAGTGAATCTGGCTTCCCCGTTGACTTGGTCAGATCGCAAAAGGGGATCGCGTGACACACACACATACACACACCCCGGGATGCTGCAGCCATCATAAATGTGAACCCGTTACCAAGCAGCTGGATTTTGATCACGTGACCACGGGGGAGGTCGCGACGGGTGAAAGGTAAAAAACGGCCGTAAAGTCATTTTTTTTTCAGTTGCAATTTTGAACGGCCATTAAACAAATTATTTTAAGCTGTGAACGCTCCAACACTGGGAGTTTTTAAGAAGAGACTGGACAGCCATTTGTCTGAAATGGGATAGGGCAGTGGTTCTCAACCTTTTTAATGCCGCGACCCCCAACCGGTCGTAAGTCGAGGACTACTCAATTGGTGCGGCACCGTTTGCAGAATGGGACTTTTGGCGGGCTCAGCAGGGCAGAGACAGCCTGGAGAATTCCTATTGGCTTTTGAAAGTCAATAGAATTAGACTCTATTCAAGAGAGTCTATTCTATTGGCTTTCAAAAGCCAATAGAATAAAAGGGAGTAGCACAGCTAAGGAAAAGGGGGGAAAAATGGTGGACTGCGTTGTTTGGCGACCCCCGTGAAACGGTCATTCGACCCCAAATGGGGTCCCAACCCACAGGTGGAGAACCACTGGTATAGGGTTTCCTGCCTGAGCAGGGGGTTGGATTAGATGACCTCCAAGGTCACTTCCAACTCTGTTATTCTATTTTTTTCCTTCCTTCCTTCCTTCCTTCCTTCCTTCCTTCCTTTCTTCCTTCCTTCCTTCCTTCCTTCCTTCCTTCCTTCCTTCCTTCGTTCCTTCCTCCCTCCCTCCCTCCCTCCCTCCCTCCCTCCCTTCTCCAACACTGGAAGTATTTAAGAAGAGACTGGACAGCCATTTGTCTGAAATGGTGTAAGGTTTCCTGCCTGAGCAGGGGGTTGAACTAGTCCAGGGCTTTTCAACCTTTCCACCCATTGTACCACTTTTAGGATATGGCAACATCCGAGGACCACCAGTTGCCTAGCAAGGTGTCAAAAACTGGATGACAAAAAAAAAAAGGAAAAAAGTGATAAATTACAGGTAGTCCTTGACTTACAACAGTTTGCTTAGTGACTGTTCGAAGTGACAATGGCACCGAAAAAAGTGCCCCCCAAGCCACAGCCGAGCAAGACACCTGCCTGCCCACCCGGTGGTGCTCTTCCTCCTGTCCGAGGTTTTCATTGTTCTGAGCATTTCTGTTGAGGATTGGCAGCGAGGGTGGGGGGGGTGTTTGGTTTTTATCCCCCCCCCCCCGTCTGCTGGGTGGTTGCAGCAGGTTTTGGCCACATGACCCTGGGACACTGTGACCGTCATAAATATGAATCAGTTGCCAAGCATCTGAATGTAAATCACAAGACCCTGGAGAGGCTGCAACATTCCAGCTGATCGGCACTTCTTCTGGGCTCAGCAGAAGCGCCAGGATCAGCGCTGAGCTACAGCTGGAGCCTGGCGCTGATCCTGGCGCTTCCACTGAGCCCGGACAGCCCTGCAGCTCCAGCCGTCTCTGGCTCTGGCTTGTGTGGTGCTGCCACTGGTTCAGCTCATTCCCCTCCCCCACTACCACTTTTCTAGGATGGTGGCGTACCACCTGCCAGGTGCCCATGGACCACAGGGGGTACCCGTACCACTGGTTGAAAAGCCCTGGACTAGATGACCTCCAAGGTCCCTTCCAACTCTGCTGTTCTTTTTTTCTTTCCTTCCTTAACAACTGCAGTAATTCACTTAACAACTCTGGCAAGAAAAGTCGTAAAATGGGGCACGTAACAACTGTCTCGCTTAGCAACAGAAAATTTGGACTCACTTGTGGTCGTAAATCAAGGAGCACCTGTATTTACTGCGTTAAGTTCAAAACTGGAGGCGGGCAGGACCCAAACACACCTGACCCTACACCCCAACCGAGACCGCAAACCCCACCATTCTTAGACCGCGTGGGAATTAGGGGCTTTGCAGGGCAGTACTATCCGTAGGGTCCTCGTTTAAGGCAGTCCTCGGTTACACCGAGGCGGCTTCATGCCCAGGCAGCTGGCTCACCCGCTCCATGGCAGCCTCCCTCTGAGCCTTCGACATGCTGGAGTGGACGCAGGCCGCTTTCAGGCGCCGAGGGAGGCCGGAGACCTGCAAGAGATGCAGAGCGCGCCTCACTCAGACTTAGGCAGACACGGGGGTTACCGGCCCCCTCCCCAGGCAAAGAACAGGAGCCACGTCCCTGCGGCTTTCCCTACGGCTGCAATTTCTGCTCCAGAAAAAATGCTGAATTGTGCCTTTTGGCATTGGCCCACCCTACCTGTGCCAGGACAGGTGGCAGGCTGCGTGCAGGGTGTGTGTGGGGGTGTCTAGGACAACTTAGCACGCCCAGCTCACTGCAGGACAAGAGTTACACATAGATAGATAGATAGATAGATAGATAGATAGATAGATAGATAGATAGATAGATAGATAGATAGATAGATAGATAGATAGAGATAACAATAGATTGATATAGATAGATAGATAGATAGATAGATAGATAGATAGATAGATAGATAGATAGATAGATGGATGGATGGATGGATGGATGGATGGATGGATGGATGGATGGATGGACGGATACACCAACACAAAGATATAGATTAGATGGATGGATGAACAGAGAGATAGATAGATGACAGATATGATAGATTGATATGATTGATTGATATAATAGACAGACAGACAGATGATAGATTGATAGATATGATAGATTGATATGATAGATTGATATGATAGATCCGTGGTGGTGAACCTATGGCACCCGTGCCACAGGTGGCACACAGAGCCCTCTCTGTGGGCACATGTGCCATCGCCCCAGTCCTAGGCCTTCAGCTTTTATAAAACCTTTTCGCGTAGCCGTGTGCAAAAAAAAAAAAAAAAAAAAAAGTTCAATCAATCAATTTCCACTTCTCGTGGGAAAAAAAAGATCTCGCAAAGTTGGAATTGATTGAACTTTTTAGTCCCATCCAGTCTGTTGTTACCACCGCAGCCACGCCCACCCAATGGGCCACGCCCACCCAATGGGCCACACCCACCCGGCACCGACGATAGATAAGTGGGTTTTGGGTTGCAGTTTGGGCACTCGGTCTCTAAAAGGTTCGCCATCACTGTGATAGATTGATATGACAGGCAGAGATAGATAGATAGATAGATAGATAGATAGATAGATAGACAGACAAACAGATAGATAGATATAATTAGAGAAAGAGAGAGAGAGAGAGAGAGAGAGAGGGAGGGAGGGAGGGAGGGAGGGAGGGAGAGGGAGAGAACGAACTTTTATTGTCATTTTTTACTGTGGGCACAATGGCACACATTAAACATGAAATTTAGTTGCTTGCTCCCAAAGTGTACATGTACATAACACACATCTAAAACATACTATATACAACATATGTACAGACCTACACCCTTACATATAACTAACATGTAAATATTAATCACTGTCCATCTTGAATACATAAGGGAAGGGGAAGCTTTATATCGAACAAACGGTGGAATAGAATCATCAAAGAAAGGATGCCAAAAGGAGGGAGGGCCAGAATGAAATGTGAAGGGCAAAAATTAAAATAATTTTCTAATCATTTTAAATGCTTAAACCGAATTGTGGAATTGTCCCGCAGCAGGCTGTCCCTCGGTCAGTTGGCCACGGCGGGTTGTCCTGCCAGCCTAGAAACACCCCCACACACACACACACCACACTCCCAGTCCAAGGGCATCTTCCAGCTTACCTGATCATCCATCAGGGACACCAAGGGAGAGATCACCAACGTGATGCACGGGGACCGTTTGCCGTACAGATAGGCAGGCAGCTGGTAGCAGAGAGATTTTCCCATCCCTGTGGACAAGACCACCAAGGTGGAGAGCCCTGCAAGAGAGCAGAGTCAGAAGAGTCAGCCTCAGAACCAACAGCCACGGTAACCTTTCCCCTTGCTGGCACTCGCGCAGAAACGGCAACTTAAAGGACATCTATCCCACCCCCTGCTCAGTGCAAGATTCACTACAGCAGCTTGGATGTCCCAAAGGTGCTACCTTCAAAAGGAAACTGTACTTTGTTTTCCTTGAAAATGTTTCACTTCTCATCCAAGAAGCTTCTTCAGTTCTGACAGCTCAGTCAGAACTGAAGAAGCTTCTTGGATGAGAAGCGAAACGTCTTCAAGGAAAAACGAAGTCCAGTTGCCTTTTCGGGGGGGAAAAGCATCTTTGGGACAACTGTGACCAGGGTGATTGACAATCTCCATGGACAGCAGCTTGGATGGACGCTCACTGAGTTTCTGTATGGAAACCTTCAGAGAAAATCTTCCCAGTACAGGTGGCAGCCTGTTTCACTGACTGACTAGTCGTATTTTTAAAGTCGTATTTAGCCTGAATGTGGAAGCTTACGGTAAGGAGGTTGAGGGGTTGGTGAAGTGGTGTAAGGAAAACAGCCTAGTTTTAATACTGGAAAAATCAAAGAGATCATTGTCGATTTCAGAAAAGGCAGGCACAGCCACACTTCTCATGATTCACCTGTGGAGATGGTTACCAGCATCAAATTCCTGGGTGTGCAGCTAACGAGTAGGCTGGCCTGGTCGGTCAACAGCGAGACACTGGTGAAGCGGGCACAGCAGCGCCTGCATTTTCTGCGTCGCCTGAGAAAAGCACATCTTCCTTCCCCTGTCCTGACCACTTTCTACAGGGGGACAGTCGAGAGCATCCTGTCCTACAGCATCAGTCTGGTTTGGAAGCATCCTTGCTTCGGACAGGAAGGCGGTGCAGAGAGTGGTGAGGATGGCCAAAAAGATCGTTGGCAGTTCCCTCCCTCCCATCCAGGACACGGCACAGAAGCGTTGCTTGAGCAGGGACCGCAAGATTGTCTGGGACACAACACATCCTCTTCTCGACCTGTTTATCTTTTTAGAGGAGGGGGCTTTGTGGTATTCGTAGCAGAACATCCAGATTCAGCCAGAGTTTCATTCCATACAGCATCAACCTTGCGAACTCTCAACCTTCCTCCTTCCGTTATGTACTCAAGATGGACAGTGTTTAATATTTATTTGTTAAGCATATATAGGGGTGTGGGTCTATACATATATATAGTATGTTTAGGTGTGTGTCATGTATGTGTTTCACTTTGAGAGCGGGCAATAAAAAAACAGAGCTAGGTGTCCTTTTCTGACAGCTTCCAAGACACCTGTCAGTTCAAAGGTGACTGGTAGGGAACTGCCCCCCAAAAATTCTAGTCTAAAGAATTTTCCAAGAGTCTCTGTCCATCCAATTCATTCTAGCAGATTGGGCAAGATGCAGATCCCATCAGCCAAAGATTGTTGGCTGGCAGGGACTAGGAGAGGTGTTATTTCTGCAGTGGCACTTGCTCTGTGGAATATCCTCCCCTTGGAGATCAGAATGGCCCCAATCCTGTTGGCCTTAAAAACCTGGCTATGTTCCCGAGCTAGGGGACCATGAATGTGTTAAGAGCCCCGTTTCCGGGCTTTATTGCTTACTGGCTACACATCTCAGCTGCTCTGTATATTTATTTTGGATGTTTTTATGTTTATAAATTGCTTTTTTGTTTAACTGTTTTTAGTTTTGGAATTATAAGCCAGCGAGTCATTGATTGAGATGGGTGGCTATAGAGAGAAGGAAGGAAGGAAGGAAGGAGGGAGGGAGGGAGGGAGGGAGGGAGGGAGGGAAGGAAGGAAGGAAGGAAGGAAGGAAGGAAGGAAGGAAGGAAGGAAGCTACAATGCACACTGCCCCTTCATGTATTAAAGCAAATAGCAGAAAACACACATTTCACCTGATGTCTGCATGGCCCAGTGTTTCTCAACCTTGACAATTTTAAGGCATGTGGACTTCAACTCCCAGAATTCCACAGCCAGCATTGCTGGCTGTGGAATTCTGGGAGTTGAAGTCCACATGCCTTAAAATTGTCAAGGTTGAGAAACACTGGGCCATGGAGGATTGGAGAACAGGGCCACGTCTTGCTCAGAAAAACAGAGGAGGTGCCACACCACATTATATTTCTCCTTCCCTTCATTTTGCAACACGAAATCACGCTTCATGATGCAAAACATGCATTTTCTCTAGGCCCTATTGAGTGTGCTCAACCGAAGCTTCAGGTAAGATGGAGACCCCCCCCCCCATGGGGCAGACCTAATGTCCCATGTGCAGTGGCACAAGCATGCCAGGAAAAAAGGAACATGCCTTTTATGTCAATGTTACAATGTTCTGTCAGGAGGCTAGGACATAATAATGTTGGAAGGGACCTTGGAGGTCATCTAGTCCAACCCCCTGCTCGGGCAGGAAACCTTACACCATTTCGGACAAATGGCTGTCCAGTCTCTTCTTTAAAACCTCCAGTGTTGGAGCATTTACTGTTTCTGAAGGCAGGTGGTTCCACTGGTTAATTGTTCCCACTGTCAGGAAGTTTCTCCTTAGTTCTAGGTTGCTTCTCTCCCTGATCGGTTTCCATCCGTTGCTTCTTGTCCTGCCTTCAGGGGCTTTGGAGAACAGCTTGACACCCTCTTCTTTGGGGCAGCCCCTGAGATACTGGAAAACTGCTATCATGTCCCCCTTGGTCCTTCTCTTCATTAGACTAGACCAGGGGTAGGCAACCTTGGCTCGTTTATGACTGGTGGACTTCAACTCCCAGAATTCCTGAGCCAGCCGTGCTGAGGGGAAAGGGAGAGATTTCCAAGCTGAACCATGCTGGCTCAGGAATTCTGGGAGTTGAAATCCACCAGTCATAAAAGAGCCCAGGTTGCCTACCCCTGCCCTAGACCAGGGGTGGGGAATCTTGACTCTTTTATGACTGATGGACTTCAACTCCCAGAATTCCTCAGTCAGCCTCCATTTTGTTTATTAGATTTAAGACAGGAGTCTTCAAACTTGGCTCTTTTATGACTCGTGGACTTCAACTCCCAGAATTCCTGAGCCAGCCGTGCTGAGGGGAAAGGGAGAGGTTTCCAAGCTGAGCCAGGCCGGCTCAGGAATTCTGGGAGTTGAAGTCCACGAGTCATCAAGGGAGCCATAGTTTCCCCATGCTGGCTCAGGAATTCTGGGAGTTGAAGTCCACCAGTCATAAAAGAGCCACGGTTGCCTACCCCTGGACTAGACATACCAGAAACATCTGCCCACCACAACTGCCAAGATCCAAGTTAAGTTAAAAATTTGTTTCTTTACGCCCTACCTGAGAGTATTCTCATGACTGCCGTTTCCTGTCCTGGCCGGAAGGAAGTATAACCCAGCTCAGCCAATGCTTGGAAGACTTCGGGAGGCGTATCTGGACAAGACAGTGGACAACCACAGTGAGGAACGCCCGTCCTTGGGGAGGACTGAGCAGGAAGCGCTGAACGAATATACCTTCCACTTACCCCGTTGCCATTTCTTAAGGATATGGACCCTGAACAAAAGAGTCCAGATTCTGGAGAACTGGAGGTTTAGGAGGGCAGAACTGAGGACTTCAAAGCTGCCTCAGTTAGCACACATTCCTTCTATTTTTCTCAGAATAACAACAACAGAATAATCATAGAATAACCCAATTGGAAGGGACCTTAGAGGTCTTCTAGTCCAACACCCTGCTCAGGCAGGAAACCCTATAGCAGTGATGGCGAACCTATGGCACGCGTGCCAGAGGCAGCACTCGGAGCCCTCTCTGTGGGCACGCGTGCCGTCGCCCCAGCCCCGCCTCCCCCCACAGCCCCCACCTCTCCAGCAACCCCCCTGGAGGAGAGTCGCCCCTGGGCGCGGCCTGCATGAAGCAGCGCAGCCAAGGACATAGCCAGGCCTCGTGCCTCATAGCGTGCAGATGATGCTGCGGGGTGTGGGTGGAGGGCATGGCTGCCATGGCGTTGCAGGGTTGCCTGGGCGATCTGCGGCGGCCATGGAGGCAGTGCGTGGTCCTGCGGGCGGGCAGGGCAGGGGGCGGAGCAGGCAGGATGGGAGGCGGAGTGGGGGCAGGGGGCAGTTTTTGGGCACTCAGTCTCTAAAAGGTTCGCCATCACTGCCCTACACCATCTCAGACAACTGACTGTCCAGTCGCTTCTTAAAAATCTCCAGTGATGGAGCACCCGCAATTTCTGGAGGCAGGTTGTTCCACTGGTTGATTGTCCTCACTGTCAGGAAGTTTCTCCTTAATTCCAGGTTGCTTCTCGCCTTGATGAGTTTCCATCCGTTGCTTCTGGTCCTGCCCTATGGCGAACCTTTTAGAGACCGAGTGCCCAAACTGCAACCCAAAACCCACTTATTTATCGCCGGGTGGGCGTGGCCCACTGGGTGGGCGTGGCTGTGGTGGTCATGGCAGATTGGGTGGGTGTGGCCAAGGTGGGCGTGATCACCTCAATGTTGCTCGTGGGGAGGGACGCCTGTGGGGGCCGGGCACAGTTGGGGGAGATCCAGGGGGTCTCTGGCAGGTGGGGCGGTGGGCAGGAGGCTCGTCCTGCGGGGAGAGGCGAGGCAAGGCAGGGCGGGGGGGTGCCATTGTCACAGGGCAAGGCGAGGCAGGGGCCGGGGCGGTGCTGCCTGAACCCATTGGCCCCCGCACACAGAGGCCAGCGAGCGCATGGGTGCTGGGATGCATCTGGCCACGTGGGACCTTGGCGAGTTAGCGGGCAGTTGTTTAAAGAGGGACGGTTGCCATCTCCGGGGCATGGCGCGCGTGCCCACAGAGAGGGCTCCGAATGCCGCCTCTGGCACGCGTGCCATAGCTTCGCCACCACTGCCCTATACCATTTTGAACAGATGGCTGTCCAATCTCTTTTTAAAAACCTCCAGTGTTGGATCATTCACAGCTTCTGGAGGCAGGTTGTTCCATTGGTTAATTGTTCTCACTGTCAGGAAATTTCTCCTTAATTCCAGGTTGCTTCTCTCCTTTACAATAGAATAGAGGATGGAGCTGGAAGGGACCTTGGAGGTCTTCTAGTCCAGCCCCCTGCTCAAGCGGGAGAATCTATACCGTCTCAGACAGGTGATTGTCTAGCCTCGTCTTCAAAATCTCCAGTGATGGAGCACCCACAATTTCCGGGGGTAAGCTGTTCCACTGGTTGATTGTCCTCACTGTCAGGAACCCTGCTATCCTGTCCCCCCTCGTCCTTCTCTTCATTAAACTAGACATACCCAATTCCTGCAACTGTTCTTTTATGTTTTAGCCTTCCTCCACTCCTCTAAGGCAGGGGTGTCAAACTCAATTTCATTGAGGGCCGCATCAGCACTGTGGTTGCCCTGGGGGGTGGGGGTGGCGGTCAGGGTGGGTGCGGCTTACTGGGTGGGCGTGGATGGAGTGGGTGTGGTCTACTGGGTGGGCATGGCCAGCTCTACATCGTTCGCACCAAGGGGGCCTGTGGGGGCCTGGGCAGAAGTGGGACAGATCTGAGGGTCTCTGGCAGAAGGGGGTGGGACCGGGGCAAGCACCAAGGCATGGTCCATTTCTTCATTCCTCACAAAGGGTGACCCCTCCCCAGCATGCACCCAGGGGGCGGGGGCGACACGGCAGGGGCCGGTCCCTGGCTGTTTCTAGATGGCCTTGTGGAGCTAAGACTGAATGCGTTTCAGCATAGATGGCCACCACAAAGTTGTACAAGGGCTCCCGGCCGGCCTGGGCCAGGGCCAAGGCAGCGGGGGCCGTTCCCTCACTATTTCCAGGATGGCTTCACGGACCACATGAAACCATTTCGCAGGCCGCATCCGGCCCCCGGGCCTTGGGTTTGACATGTCTGCTCTAAGGAGTTGTTTTCCTCACAACCAGAGTCTTACCTCTCACTTTCTTATCTGGCCCCAATTTGTAGAAAGGCTCCATCGGTGCAGCTGGAGTGATTGTTTCAGAGGCAGGCCTTCCTATTTGCAGGTAACTTTCTTCCTGAGCGGACGGCTCCAGGGTTTCTTGGCCGTTCTCACCCTTTGCTGAGAAAGGAGAATTGAGGGAGAAATTCTCGTCAGAGGGAGCGTTGGTGATTAATAGCCTTAACCGCAACCCAACCTCATCGGGATGCTACACCTTATCGCCTGGTTTGAGGCAACCCAGAAACAATCCAGGCTCTGGCCTGGTAGATGCATAGCTCCTGCCCCTTACCTGCAATTCTCGTGTAAGCCGTATTGGTCATCCGAGCCACTTCCTCCAGAGTTAACAAGGGCACTTCCTCTTCAGCAGCACAGCTATCCTCTTCCTGCTGGCTCTCAGGAGCAGGGAGTTGACCTGTACGGATGACACCAAAGCAGTGGTTCTCAACCTTTTTTAATGCCGCGACCCCCCTCCAACCGGTCGTAAGTCGAGGACTACTCAACCGGTCGTAAGTCGAGGACTACTCAACTGGTGCAGCCCCGTTTGCAGAAGGGGACTTTTGGCGGGCTCAGCAGGGCAGAGACAGCCTGGACAATTCCTGTTGGCTTTGGAAAGCCAATGGAATTAGACTCTATTCAAGAGAGTTTCTTCTATTGGCTTTCAAAAGCCAATAGAATAAAAGGGAGGATCCCAGCTAAGGAAAAGGGGGGAAAAAATGGCGGACTGCGTTGTTTGGCGACCCCCGTGAAGTGGTCGTTCGACCCACAGGTTGAGAACCACTGCACCAAAGGAATGCAAATAATATTTTCCGTCACTGTGGCTCAGTGATTGCAATGAAGAGTTCTTAAACACACGAGCCAGCCGTGTGCTGCAGCTGCCAAAAAGGCCAACACAGTGCTAGGCTGCATTAACAGAGGGAGAGAATCAAGATCACACGAAGCGTTAATAACACTTTACAAGGCCTTGGTAAGGCCACACTTGGAATCCTGCATCCAGTTTTGGTCACCACGATGTAAAAAAGATGTTGAGACTCTAGAAAGAGTGCAGAGAAGAGCAACAAAGATGATTAAGGGACTGGAGGCTAAAACATATAAGGAACGGCTGCTGGAATTGGGTAGGTCTAGTTTAATGAAGAGACGGACGAGGGGGGACATGACAGCAGTGTTCCAATATCTCAGGGGCTGCCCCAAAGAAGAGGGAGTCAAGCTATTCTCCAAAGCCCCTGAAGGCAGGACAAGAAGCAACAGATGGAAACTAATCAAGGAGAGAAGCAACCTAGAACTAAGGAGAAACTTCCTGACAGTTAGAACAATTAACCAGTGGAACAACCTGCCACCAGAAGCTGTGAATGCTCCATCACTGGAGGTTTTTAAGAAGAGACTGGACAGCCATTTGTCCGAAATGGTATACTGTTTCCTGCCTGAGCAGGGGGTTGGACTTGATGACCTCCAAGGTCCCTTCCAACTTTATTATTATTATTATGGATCATCGCACAGTCAGCCAAATGTTCAGACTGGATTTGGCATTTTGTCTACTTATCGAGTCCTTACCCAGGACTGGGATAGGCAGATGTGGATGTTTGATGGTATTACAGATATCGTCGCAGGATGGAAGCAGTTCCTATTATTATTATTATTAATCATCGCAGTCAGCCAGATGTTCAGACTGGATTTGGCATTTTGTCTACTTATCGAGTCCTTACCCAGGACCTGGGATAGGCAGATGTGGATGTTTGATGGTATTACAGATCTCGTCGCAGGATGGAAGCAGTTCCTAGTAAGGCCGCAACTGCTTCCATCCTGCGACGATATCTGTAATACCATCAAACATCCACATCTTCTTCTTTCTTCTTCTTCTTTCTTTCTTTCCTCCTCCTCCTCCTCATTATTATTATTATTATTATTATTATTATTAATTATTATTATTATTATTATACCTTCCACTGCAAGGGCAGTCAAAGGCTCTTCTTTTTCTAAAGGACCAAGTCAGGACAAGCCCGACAGTATGTTTTCATTATGTTTATTTTAGTTTTTATATTTCTATCAATGGTTATTTTATGCCTCTGCTGCTGATTGAGCCTAATTAAACCTGGGAAATTGCCCCTGAGAAATGTTTGATCTATACAGAGGGATGGCTCTCTTCTCAGCTAATATGTTCAGGACAATTTGATTATTCTTTGAAATTCATTAATCAGCGGATTCAGGAAAGGAAGGTGGAAAATTATTGGCTCCTGCTAAAGGAAGAAAAGTAATACAATTTTACATCTGGAATTCAAGCCAACAGCAGTCAGTTATGTAATAAGGCAGAGGTTATTAATTACCAGTTTAATTATTCTAATGCTCAGTTACATTAAGATAAGACATGTGTAACTGAACACAAAATAATTAATTTATTGGGAAATGCTGAATTGGAACAAATCTCTCAGGAAGATTTAAAAAAGCATGACAGAACCAATTATATTACAAGAAATAATGGTAGAAATTTATTAATAAAACAATAAACAATAAAAATCTATGAAAGTTGTGAAAGCGCTGGTCCCACTAACCCAGTTGAATGATATAGAACTTAGATCAGCGGTTCTCAACGTTTGTGTGACGGCGACTCCGTCACACAAACGTTATGCGCATGTGCGGCGCGCATGGGGGCGGGGGGTGCATGTGTGGCGGCGCCCCCGGAGGCGCGCCGCCGCCCCCATGTGCAGCGCACATGCGCGGCGCCGCCCCCGGAGGGGAGAAAATGGCAGATCGCTGCCTTTGGCGACCCCCGAAAAATGGTCAATCGACCCCAAATGGGGTCGCAACCCATAGGTTGAGAACCACTGACTTAGATGGATGTAAGTGAGTAACATAACAGAATATCAGAGTTGGAAGGGACCTTGGAGGTCATCTAGTCCAACCCCCTGCTCAGGCAGGAAACCCTATACCATTTCAGACAACTGGCTGTCCAGTTTCTTCTTAAAAACTTCCAGTGTTAAAGAGGGAGTCAACCTATTCTGCAAAGCACACTAAAAGGCAGGACAAGAAGCAACGGGTGGAAACTAATCAAGGAGAGAAGCAACCTGGAACTAAGGAGGAAACTTTCTGACAGTGAGAACAATTAACCAGTGGAACCACCTGCCTCCAGAAGTTGTGAGTGCTCCAACACTGGAAGTTTTTAAGAAGAGACTGGACAGCCATTTGTCTGAAATAGTATAGGGCTTCCTGCCTGAACAGGGGGTTAGACTAGATGACCTCCAAGGTCCCTTCCTACTCTGATATTCTATCATATTTGTTAAATTCAATTCAATTCAATTCAATTCTACTCTATTTATTCTCAAGTTTGCTCTTTCTGTTGCTGTTCATGTCTATATTCCATTATTAATATTAATATTAATATATTCCACTATCAATAAGGTAAAGAAGGGTTTTTTTGTTATCTTTTTTTTTTTTACTGTTTCTTTGGCAAGGGAGACCCTTCTCTCAAAATCAGAAAAGTCTTTTCAGGTAAATACACAGTGCATTCCTCTGTGGCTTCAAGGCAACCTTCGCTAACTAACCTGGATTCTGCAATCAAACTTCCCAGTCTGATAATGTCAGCTAGCCAGACCCACCACATTCACCTTTGCACTGGGAAGACCAGTGACCACGTCCCCCGCATTTGAAGCAAGTGTCATTACTCCGGTCCACAAGCCTGCCACCTCCACCAAACAGTTGCCCCTTTTTCTGCCACTTCTGCTTCCACACCTAGAGGGAAGCAAAATACAGGTGAGGCAAAGAGGCAAAGAGACTTGTTCATCCTTCCCTACGTAGCCCACTAGGGAATTATCCAAGGAGCCATCCTGCCCCAATGGGAACAGCCCACCCGACTTGTTCCAGCAGAAGAGGCTGCTACAGACCCCATTGGTCAAGGAATTCTGGCTGGAGGACTCAAGGAGAAGAACCGCTCCTATTGTGGACCCGGCCCTGTGGAACATCCTGCCACTGGAAATGAGAACTGCTCCCACTCCTTTGGCCATCCGGGAAGAATATCAAAACCTAATTTCGCCACATGGTTTGGGGCCCCAAGAAGGGCACCTTCTGCTGGAAGTGGCTGATGGGATAAGAAGTGGTTGATGGGATAAGGTGGCCTCGTTTCCCCCCCCCTTCCTCAGTTCTAGTTTTTATATAGCATTGTAATTGTAATTGTTTTTATACTGATCTCTTTAAAGACTTACAAGTATCATCTAATTCTAAGAGTAAAGCATAAGAAAGAAAAAGGCTGCATCTCCAGATGTTGTCAAGGCAAGAACATCCAATGTTAGCAGCGTTGACAGCAACTTACCTGCTTGCGGAGGTGTTTTCCCTTCAAGCTGCAACTCTTTACGTGGGATTTCGTTTTCATATTGAGCCGGACAAAATTGCCACATTTCTTCGGTGGCTGCCTGGGGGAAGAAAAAAAAAAACTCACTATCAATGCAAAGCAGGACTATCCGACCTTGGCAACTGAGGACTTCAACTCCCAGAATTCCCCAGCCAGCTCCTGACTCCAGGAAAAAGCGAGGGATATACCTGAAGCTTGGAGTGACGGACTTCCCACTCCTCTTCGGGCCGTTTTCCTCAAGGAGGTCTCCAAATATATTTTCAGAAAGAAGCGGAGACATCTTCTTTTTTCCCTCTTGCACTTTGACAGGGTCTTGGTCAAAGTCGTATTCGTCCTTTCCTGGCTTTTGACTGACAGGGCGCAGTTTTTTGACAACCCGCTCTTTAGTCCTTTGGCGCTTGGCACAAACGCCGTGTTTGGAACTGCCCAGAGCAACTTCATCGTCAGCTGCAGGATCCAGATGCCTCTTCCTGCTTGATATTTTCCTTGCCTGGGTAAGGGGAGGCTGCCCGCTCTCCCCATCACACAAATCACCCCCCAGCCTGGATGAAGCGCCTTGCAGGAGAGGCTCCTCCGTTTTCCAGTTGCCATCTTTTCTGCCAGTTTTCAGGCTCTGCATCTGCTCGGCAGTGGGAATTTCAGCACTGGTTTCCTGGAAGACTACACCGATCCTTTCTTGGTCTGAAGCTGGATTATTATCCTGTGCGCTCGCTGGATTGAGGCCTTCGGGATTTTGCCTCTCCAACACGCCCTGCTGACGGTTTTCCTGAAGAGATTTGCAATCCTTTCCCCATTTTCTTTCTCCAGGTTGGAAAAAGGGAGTCTGTGTTTGGAAAGAAATGCGTTCTGGCAATCCTCGGCATAGCTCCGTCCCATTAATTGGGTCCAAACTGAAGTCTTTGATTTGTTCCTCTCTGCTCTCCAATTTTGTACCTTGGCACCTGTCTAGCCACCCAGCATCCAAACTGCTCAAACGTTTCGTTACTGTCTGCTTTTGCCATCGCAACCGGTCCAATGATGGCAGTCTCGGTTTCGGACCAGGAAAACAGAGCTGAGTACCAGCCAGGTCTGGAAACGAAGAAGGAAGAAGAGCTGTAAGTTCCTTGGCATTAGAAGCAGGCAAGTCACTGGGATTAGCTTTTAACGAAGGAGCTTCTGGTGACGGGAGAGGCACCACCTTTTCAATTTGAGGTCCATCCTGTGCTAATTTAACTGGTTTCCTTTTGGGGGTGAGAGATCTCCTTAAAGTTATAGGGCATTCCTGGGATCAAAAATAAAAAATCAGTTAGTAGAATCAGATGGATATTGGTACTGAAAATCTCCTGAAATCTAACATTTATTACATTTTATGCTGCTGCTTGCAAATTCCTTGCGTATTTTATTTACCCAATTTATATGGTCATCCATCTAAGAAACTCTACACAATGAATATATTCTTCACTCCACAGGCCAAGAGGAGAACTAAGTCTTTTGGAAGGTTTGGGCCTAAATGTTGAGACTCTAGAAAGAGTACAGAGAAGAGCAATAAAGATGATCAGGGGACTGGAGGCTAAAACATATAAAGAACGGCTGCTGGAATTAGGGATGTCTAGTCTAATGAAGAGAAGGACCAGGGGGGACATGATAGCAGTCTTCCAGTATCTCAAGAGCTGCCCCAAAGAAGAGGGAGTGAGACTATCCTCCAAAGCACCTGAAGGCAGGACAAGAAGCAACAGGTGGAAACCAGCCAAGGAGAGAAGCAACCTAGAACTAAGGAGACACTTCCTGACAGTTAGAACAATTAACCAGTGGAACTACCTGCCTCCAGGAGTGGTGAATGCTCCAACACTGGAAGTCTTTAAGAAGAGACTAGACAGCCATTTGTCTGAAATGGTATAGGGTTTCCTGCCTGAGCAGTGGGTTGGACTAGATGACCTCCAAGGACCCATCAAACTTTATTATTATTATCATCATCGTCATCATTAAATTTACAAGATAACCCTCCTTTTCTCCTTTACACTATTTACAACAGGGGTATCAAACTTGTAACATCACATGATGTGTCATGACATATCATGACTTTCCCCCCCATTGTCGGCAATGGGGTGGACGCAGTTTTGGCATGACGCATCCAGCCCACGGGCTGGCATTTGACACCCCTGATTTACAAGGTTAGAATTCAAACAATCAAGATCACATATTGGGTTAATTACATATAAAGTATGACAGCCTTTAGTTATTTTTATTTACTCTCATCAGAAAATTATATTTAAAATAAAAGATAAACAGGATCACTAGGTAACCTGACCTGTTTTTGAAAAAATAAAGAAACAGAGGGAAACAATTCCTTTTAATTTTCTCTCTGCAATCTATTTTTCTGGTTTTTTCTTGAGATTTATTTCTCTCTCTGTTTCTGGACAAGAGTGATATATCTGAGGAAAGCCATTTTTCTAATTTTCGTTTTATTTGATTTTCTTATTGTCACATCACACTGTTATTTTAATGTATTAAAATAACAAACGTAGACTTTCCTTCCAGGTCAAATGTTGCTGAACAGTTCTGAATTAGTACTAGCTATGAGTCCAGAGAAGGCTGAGCCCTAAGAAAGGCTGAGTGCCAAAGAATGGAGGCCTTTGAACTCCGGTGCTGGAGAAGACTTCGGCGAGTCCCCTGGACTGCAAGGCGATCCAACCGGTCAGTCCTGGAGGAGATCAACCCCGACTGCTCTTTAGAAGGCCAGATCCTGAAGTTGAAACTCAAGGACTTTGGCCACCTAATGAGAAGGAAGGACTTCCTGGAGAAGAGTCTAATGCTGGGAAAGATGGCGGGCAAGAGAAGAAGGGGACGACAGAGGATGAGGTGGCTGGATGGAGTCCCTGAAGCAGGAGGCCTGAGCTTCAATGGACTCCAGAAGATGGCAGAGGACAGGAAGGCCTGGAGGAACGTTGTCCATGGGCTTGTGATGGGTCGGACACTACTTCGCAACTAACAACAACGAGCCCAGAGAATGCTATGGGAGATATCTATAGTAGCTAACTCAAACTGAGATGCAATAGTCTTATGTTTGTGGACAATACAGCAGAGGTAAGAAAGAAATTAAATTGGCCCCTTTGCTTCTTTATTGACTTTCGTCCTCCAGAAGTCAAGCTACAGTACTTCTACATTCAAAACTATGATCTTTTGTACAATATATGTTGCACTGTATGAATTCAGAAAATACAACGATGTAGCAATTAAGTATGTTTTATGCAATCCTCAACAGACCTTAATTTTTGCGCCCAAGTTGCATTTCAGCTTCATCCCAAAATGCTGTGCGGAGCCCTGCAAGGCCTCTGGATTCTGCTGGGTCAGTTTAGGAATCTTCTGCCCTCGATTCAGATGTGCTCCCCAGGAACCGAAATCAGATGCCTTAAAAAACAGATCCAAGCAGAGAAAAAGACAACTCAGTTGCTAATGTTACTATCGTATTTTCAAAAAGACCCGGACAGAGCCACAAACTTGACCATCTTTTTTGGGGGGTTGCCCTGTTGTGTGAATGCAGTGGGTGTGACTAATCAATAGTTTGCCCTATGCAAATTGAGATAGTTGGGTTAAATGAGCAAACTAGGATTAGGTAAACTAGGGTTTGCAAACTGCGCAAACACAACCAATGAGTTTTGGATGCTGGGTACAAAAGGAGTGAAGGAAATGTTAACTAGCCATAGGAAATTTCAGGGAAAATGATAAGGTGTTCTACAACTCACTTAACAAGTCAATTAAACATCTAGTGGCTGCATTTGCAAAATACATAAGCTTGGTTAGTTTGAATCTGGGCTTATCTTTTGTGGTTCAGTGTATTGTATTGTGTGAACCCATAAATGTGACTGTTATAGTAACTAGATTTAGCATAATGCACAAACACAAGCAGATGTTGTTAAAACAAGTTTTGCTTTAAAGCAGGAGTCTTCCAACTTGGCCCTTTGATGACTTGTGGACTTCAACTCCCAGAATTCCTCAGCCAGGCATGCGTGCCTGGCTGAGGAATTCTGGGAGTTGAAGTCCACAAGTCATCAAAGGGCCAAGTTGGAAGACCTGTCTTAAAACATCCTGACTGAGGAATTCTGGGAGTTGAAGTCCACAAGTCATCAAAGGGCCAAGTTGGAAGACCCGTCTTAAAACATCCTGACTGAGGAATTCTGGGAGTTGAAGTCCACAAGTCATCAAAGGGCCAAGTTGGAAGACCCGTCTTAAAACATCCTGACTGAGGAATTCTGGGAGTTGAAGTCCACAAGTCATCAAAGGGCCAAGTTGGAAGACCCGTCTTAAAACATCCTGACTGAGGAATTCTGGGAGTTGAAGTCCACAAGTCATCAAAGGGCCAAGCTGGAAGACCCCTGTCTTAAAACATCCTGACTGAGGAATTCTGGGAGTTGAAGTCCACAAGTCATCAAAGGGCTAAGTTTTGAAGAACCCCGTCTTAAACCATCCTGACTGAGGAATTCCTGATTCTGGGAGTTGAAGTCCACAGTCCCATCAAAGGGCTAGACCCCCTGCCTTTTAAATGAAGACAGGCAAAATGAATTTTTTTTTCCACTTCAGGGAATCAGGGTGAGCAAAGAGAATAACTATTTTGCAAAACTAGTAACTCATCATTACCTTTTCCGGTGCTCTAGGTTCCTGATTTTCTTGGTGGCAGCTCTTGACCGATTCAGCAAGATCACGATGCTCCTTGGATTCCTTTAGTGCCTTGTACTCTCTGTACAGTGCTGGGCATGAATGAGAATTTTGAGCTAAGAATCATGCAGCTAAATTAATTCTGAAATCCATCCAATACACACAATCTTTCTTAGGTAGCAGGGTATCCGACTATATTCACTTTGCACAGAAAATAGCTTCAAATTCAAAATATTGGGGGGGGGGAGGAAGAACAGGTTCGTGTAATATTGCCCTCAGAATAAAACACTTTGTGCATCCCAGTGAAAATTCTTTTAAGGCTAAATTGGAACACGGTGATTGGAATTAAGTAAAACTTAAAAACAGGACTCGGATATAGTAATAATAATAATAATAATAATAATAATAATAATAATAATAATAATAATAATAATAATAATAATAACCCCCAGTGAGGCCCTACCTTGACGTGGTTGTGGGGCTTGTGTACTCTGAGGAAGATGAGAGCTATGCCAGAGGTTCAACCATACTGGACAGGTCTCATCAGAGGAGTCAAACAAAGAGTGTCTCTCCCATAAAAAATATGGTGAGACGTAAATTGCAGAATGCCATACCGGCTCGGACGTCACCCGGGTTAACAAGGTCCGTGCTAGATATTGGAGTTCCTGGATATCTGGTGAAAAATGGGTTACAGGACTCAGGACTGTTGGCTGAGCAACCAGGGCCAGCAGCTGCAGAACTACTGGAAGAAAAGGTGTTTACCCATCGCAAATACACAGTGATTGAAAACAAAGAAATAATGATCTGTTACTACAGATCAAGTCCAACAGAGAGATATCTAAAACTAATGCACCGTTCTGGAAAAGAACAACATCCAGAATCAGAAATGCACAGAACAGAGACTAGCAGATCAACGCCAATTTATAATACAAAATAAACTATTCACAGAAACAGAATTGGACGAACTGCAAAGGTTTACCCAGGGCAAAGAAATCAAAGCCTTACCAGAAGTAATTCAGAATGTAGAGGCAAACCAGGGAGAGTTGGCAGTGAAGGAATCCAGCAGAGATATACAACTGTTCTCAT